AGAGTTGAGAGTTTGAGAGAGAGAGAGAGTTTGAGAGTTTGAGAGTTTGAGAGTTTGAGAGTTTGAGAGTTTGAGAGTTTGAGAGTTTGAGAGAGAGAGAGAGAGAGAGAGAGAGAGAGAGAGAGAGAGAGAGAGAGAGAGAGAGAGAGAGAGAGAGAGAGAGAGAGCCTTCATTTCACTGGGTGTGGAACGAGCTCGAGGTTCCCTGGTCGTTCTTGTGGTGCATGGACGTCTGAAGCACGCAGGTGGATCCAAACTGGGGGACGCGGCAGGCGCGCGATTACTGCTGCTCACCCATGAAGTGGCCTTTGAATGCCCCGCGGCTGCCCGATCGCCAGTGCACAGCATTGTGAGGGCGTGTGTTGATGTTCGCTCGTGCGCGAGACGGACACTTGGGTGCTAGACTTGTGCCCGTGATTCCCTGTTCAAAAGGAAGCGGCATCTTGATCACGAGAGTGCTTGCGATCGTGTCCAATCTGCCTCGATCCCCACGATATCTTGGAACCCTTGCCCTCGGATCGCCATCATGGAAAAGCCGCCGCGCGAAGATGCCGAGTACACCAAAGTCTGGAAAGAAGGTACGGCTTCCTGACCACGACCACGTAGCGTGCAGCAAGCCAGCAGAGCTCAAAGTCACCACTCCCCCATCGCGCGCCACCTCTTTTCTGGGCCTGTCATGCTAACCGATGATGTGCGCGCTGTAGGCCCTCTGCTCAAGGCCAAGCGGATCAAAAAGGCGCTGACTTCGGTCAAGCGTCGGTGGTTTGTGTTACGTCAAGATACGCGCAATGGTGCCTGCTTCCTCGACTGTACGTGGGTCCTTGCCTTAGTTGTACGCTCGATGCACATGATGGCATCCAATCTCATGCCACTCACCAACCACACGCTCTCAGACTACGACGCAACAGAGCTCAAGGGCACCATACCCCTCGCCATCTCCACGACCATTCCACGACCCGGGACGAACCACTTTGATGTGAGTTGACTTCCCCCGCAGAGTTTCAACACAATCAGATGATGACCCGCAAAAGTGCAGATCGCCAGTACTCACGAGTGATACCATCTTCTTTGGGACGCTTTTCCCCGTCTGCAGATCAAAACACCGGGGCGCGTTTATCCGCTTCACACGGAGAACAACGACATGTATGCTGCTCTTTCCTGGGTCAACGTATGTTTCGAACCACATCTTCCGCCCGCCTCAAGTCCTGCTACATTTGACACGTTGATCTGCTCCCCCACCTCGCTCTCGCCTCGCTCTCGCCTCGGCCTCATGCCTTCCCACTTCGTTTCAGACCCTTCAAAAAGCCTGTGGCCAGCGATTACGGCGGCATGAAGCCTCGTCTCGCCAAGTGGAAGTGGCGAAACACGAATCTCTACCGTCGGAAAAGAATACGGAAATCGTCTACTATCAATTGGGTGACGAGCTCCTGCCCATGGCCGTGACCGTACGTAATGCCGTCCTTGATCCTGCTTGCCTCCGCCCCACGCACAGCCAAGCACGAGCTTCACCTTCCTGCTCTCACCCTGGCACAAAATCTTTTGCCATGCTCCTTGCACGCCGGCGCAACAGCGTCATCGCATTGGCTCGCGACGGCGCCGTCAACCAAGCAAAGCCAAGTCCAATCGTCCCCCCAGAACCACCTCGCAGCTGATGCCGGTTCGCGAGGCGCCGGCCCTTCCGAATCGCCCGCGCTCAGATGCCACGCTCGATCCGTTTGGCCGTAATCGAAACTCGGTTGGCAATCGCGACACAATTTTGGCCGCGCGACAAGCCGTCAAGAGTCGAAGCTCCGTTACTGAAGAAAGCCTGGGCTTTAGTGAAGATGACGCCGCAACAGAGGTGGGCATGGAGGCCGAAGCCTCTGCAGCCGCTGATCACGTGAATGAGGCCGCTCGTTCAAGTGACGTGGCCAACAGTGATGCCGCGCCGCCTACTGCTACCTCTGCGGGTGAAGCCGCCGACGACGGCGAGGAGATGGAGGAAGATGAAGTGCTCGAGCCCGTCTGGCATCGGCAACACATCTTGCGTCAATCTTGGCCATTGCCCTTCTCTTTGGAGAGCCAGTACCAAGGTGCTTCAGATCATCAGGAGACCAATAAGACGGGTACGACAATCGCGTGTGTACCAATCTGTCCAGTGCAAGGCTAGATGCGTGCTGTGCAATCAAAGGACGCGTTGCCGTGTCACGGTTCACACCTCACGAACCCTTTCTCGCCTTTGCGTCACAAGGTTCCAAACACGAAGCCAGTCGAAACGAATTTTTCTCCTCGTGCATCTTTCAGATCAGTGACTTGGAATGGGGTGCCCTTTTGGGAGAAGGTGAGGGCCATCCCGCGGCCTGCTCCTCCACACCTCGATTCCTCTCACTTGCATGCACGGTAAAACAGTTCAAGTCTCCCACACCCGACACGCTAATAGCTCACCCTGGCACTATGACCGTCTGCTTCTAGGGTTCTTCGGCCGCGTGTACAAAGCGAAGCATCGCCGCACCGGCCAGGATGTCGTAGTCAAGGAGCTCAAGGAAAGGTGCGTCGTTCACGCTCTGGCATGCACGTCATGACATGTGGCCACTCTAGCAGCCCTCAGGTCACGCGGTTTCTCAATCATTTCCGTTCTTTCCTGTTTGTCTGTGTGAACGTGGTGGGGTTTGGGTCCATTGCTCGGGTGGTGTCACAGTGACCCATCGGCGCGCGCTGCCTTTGTGGCAGAAATTTCGCTCCTCAAGGTCTTGCGCCATCCCAACGTGCTGCGCTTTGTTGGCATTTTCTGCAAAGAGGATAAGGTGCGATGCATCTTCAGAGAGTCTGTTGGCGCGCAATGCAGCCGGTGGCCGCTCGTTTTGGGTCAGGCATTTGATTGGCTCTGTCTCATGACGCGACTTCTCACCGGGCCTGCACGCATCTTTTGGATTTGAAATGTCCGTCACTTACGCAGCTGCACCTCATCACCGAATTTATCAGCGGTGGCTCCCTGGATAACGTCATCATGGGCAAAGTGGAACGGTGCGTGGCGAATTCGTGCTGCTTCTGACAAGGAGGCGCCCGAATCTTATGATGCCATTCACCCGCTTGATGCTTCAGCTACAAGGAGCTGCCGTGGGCCCTACGCATCAAATGGGCGCTTGACGTGGCATGCGGGATGGAGTATCTGCACGATCGTCGGGTCATCCACCGTGACCTCAAGTCTGAAAACTGTGCGTTTGCGTGTATGGGATTGGCCCCTTTCTTTAAGCATCGCGGGTGGGATGACGACCATCCGCTTGTTTTTATTGCGTCGCCTCTCTCCTTCTTCACACCGACTAGGTCTTGTACGCAAGAATGGCCAAGCCGTCGTGGCCGACTTTGGCTTGGCTCGCGTTTTAGAAGGCGAAATTCTGACGTCTACGGCCTCCACCCACATTGAGCATCGTATGTTTTGCCAGAGAAATTGGAACTGCTTCAAGCAAATTTGAGAGTCGTGCCTTGTTGAAAGGCAGAAAGCACACGCCCACTGAATGATCTCCATTGCTTCTGACGGGTGGTTTTGTGCTTTGACAGCCGGGGACTTGCGGCGCTCGACCATGATGATGACGAGTCGCGCAGCCGTCGAAGACGAAAAGACCACAATCAGACCGCGCACCATGACCATTGTTGGCACACCTTGTATGTTGACCTTGACTTGCCTTTGCGTTGCTGCGCTGCTCTTCTTCAAGTTTGGCTGATGAACTGGTTGGACAGATTTCATGGCCCCTGAGCTGATTATGGGCATGGAGTACAATTTGCTAGCAGACGTCTTCAGCTTTGGTAGGTGGACCGAAATATGGTGTCGGCGGTGGCAGAATCGGTCCCGCAGAACTTTGGCGCAGGGAGGCGCGGTTGGCACAGCACTGACCGCTTGTGCCTCAAACACGGACAGGTGTTTTGCTTTGCGAGCTGATTGGCCGAATTCAAGCCGACCCAGACATCATGCCACGTTTGAACAATTTTGGCATTGATCAAGACACATTCAAGTGAGTCGCAACCTGGCTCAGAATGTGGTGCTGAATTCATTTTGCTTACACTGCGTTTTGGGGTCATAGGGAAAAGTTTGCGCTTGATTGTCCAGATGAATTCCTTTCGATTGCCTTTGCGTGTGCCGCACCCAAGGCCAGGGTATGTTTGATCGGAAGCAATTCGTTTGATCATGCCCGACCCCTGTTAACCGTGGCACTCATGCCTTTTTCCCACCCGACTCGCTCGGCTTGCGCAGAGGCGGCCGAATTTTCACTGGGCGGCCCAGCGTCTGCGTGTTTTGAATCTGAAATCCCAAGCAACATAAACTTGATTGAGAAAACAAGGGCCTAGTTGTCCCTTCCCTCCCCTTTGCATGGATTTTTTTTTTTTATGTTTTGCACACTGTCCAGACTCTACTGTTTACTTGCCACTGCTGTGGGTGGAGGCCGCATGTCCTCCGAGAGTGCATGTGCGCGCCTTTCAGTATTTCGAGGGGGGGGAGGGGTTTGCTATTCATGACCGCAAGGATTGTTTTTTTTTTACCCCCAAAGTTCATTATGTGCAATTAAATGAGCCATAAAATCAGACAGCCCGGTCAAGCCCCATCGCTCAATCCAGAAAGAAGCTTCACATTTGCAGCATCTCTTCAACATCTTCGTCGGAGCTTTCCATGTCCTCACAAATGCTTTCGAGATTGTTATTGTTGTCTTCATCCTCATCCTGCGATTCAGCGTCAGCCTGGCAGGCCAGATCAGGTCCCATTAAACATGGATCAGAGGCGAGATGGCGCAACACAGAGCAGGCTGGAATTTCTGAGACACACCGCATCATCGGCTTCAGCATCCAGGGTCATGCGCCGAGGTCCAGACTTGAGGGAAGCCTTGAGGTTCAATTTGCGAGCCTAAAATGATCCACCCACAACCGTCAAGATGGGCGCTTGTCGAAATGGCAACGAGGCTCACCGCAGTGGAGTCAAGGCTTACCGTGGCCATGGCCTCAGCCTTGGGGGCGGGTGCGCCTAAGCGATGTGGAGGGGGCACAAAGAATGCAGAAAAGGGTGAGAAAAAATGAAAAGCTTTGAAGCAACATTTGAGGCACCTGGTGGCCGACCAAGGGCTGAATCACGTACCAACTTTACGCAAGCTCGGGCGGTCGCCTGACGCAAAGAGACTCGCAAGACCCGCCAGCGGAGAAGCTTGCATGCGCTGTGCGGGAGGCAAGCTATCGGGATGGGGCGGGTCTGAGGCTTTGCGCAAGGTGACGCCGCCACGAAGCTCATCAGCGATATTGCCACGCCCGGCGCTGGCACCACTCGCCAATGCGCCTCCAAGCGGCGGCACGGGTGCTGCTGGCGGGCCACTCGGTGGGGCAGGTGGCGGTGGAGGCCCGTCTGGATTTTCCGCGGCGGCCGCCGCAAGAGCTGCCGTCCTAGCTCGCGCCGCCTCCTCTGCAGCCCGCTCGGCCTCCTCACGTGCTAGTCGCTCGGCGCGCAGTCGCTCTTGGCGTTCACGTTCCTCTTGTTCCAAGCGCTTTTGGCGCTCCTCTTCTTCTTGCCGCGCTCGCTCTAGTTCCTTGCGGGCGTGGGACCAGCGTCGTCGAGAGATGGAGCTGCAGGGCGAGACCAATCATGCAAGAGGTGATGAGGCGCGAAGAAGAAAGCAGCACGCAGTTCGACCACATGACCGGTTGGCGAGGGCTCACGGTCGTGCATGCTCGTCATCTGGCCTCAAGTGTGTACCCTTGAGTTTGGGTATCTTGCCCTACGAATTGTCAAGAGGCATCAGCTGTGACGAGCGCACGTCTATAGACCATAGCTTCTTCATGCTTTGGTGCAGGACGTGTGCATGCAGGATCCCACCGAGGCAAATGCTTGCTTGAGCGCAGCACTCAAATCTGCCGGGCGTCCGGCAGGCTTGTTGCCAGCTTCAGCAGATTCGTCGCGAGTTTTGCGCAGTTGCACGCCACCCTGCAGGGAGCAAAGACAGTGCATGAGAGTGCTTCACCACATGCAGGCGGAGAAGTGGAAATTGTGGGAATCCGAGCTCGGATGATCGCCAGCCGACCTGGATAGAGGCCATGACGTCAGCCATGCCGAGCTTGAGGTGAGGGCTGGCCGCAAGTTTGCTCGCATCTGGCGCTGGAGGTGGTCCTACACGTCGGGTCAGAATTGAGCAAGATACCTTGCAATCATCAACCTTACGTCAATTCACAGGCAGGACAGTGGGCTGCAAGCTCACCTGGAGGACCTGGTGGGGCTGGCGCCGATGGAGGGACAGGTACATTTGCGACAGTGCTGCCACTAATTTCAGCTGCGACGCTCTCAGACGGTGTGCTTGACTCTGCGGCGGCATCCTGCTCAGCCAGCTCGCCATCAGCATGATCACTAGATGCCTTGTCAGCCTCGGCGGCCCGACTTGAGGCGTCTCCGTCGGCAATGTCGTCCAAAGTTTCGGGATTCTGGTTGTCGACCCCTGCATCGCCATGTGTGGTATTTGCACCTAAAGCCTCTGTTTGTGTCTCCTCGGTTGGGGCATCATCAGGCACAAATCGATCTTGATCAAGTAGGGCATCCTCGAGCGCGCCACCACGTTCATCAGCATTGATCAGTGGCTGGGAGGTGGTCAAAGTGGCGCGATCGGACAGCTCCTCCTGGGCGATGCTGGCATCCTGAGTAGCCTCATGATCGATATGTCCAGTCGTCGTCTGAATAGCATTGGCCGCCAGGGTGGTACTCGTCACTTGAGTAGCACCCAACATTTGCGCAGAATCGAGCTCTGTATTAACATCCTGGCCAGCGTCGGCCTCCTGAGTAGCGTCACTCTCTTGAGTTGTCTCTTGGGCAGCGTCGGCTTCCTGAGTATCCACTCGAGTAGCGTCATTTTCTTGAGTTGTCTCTTGAGCAGCGTCGGCTTCCTGTGTAGGCTCTTGAGTAGCGGCAGCTTCTTGTGTTGTCGCTTCGGCAGCGTCTGCCTCCTGAGGAAGCACCTGAGTAGCATCACTTTCTTGAGTTGTCTCTTGAGCAGCGTCTGCCTCCTGTGTAAGCTCCTGAGAAGCGCCAGCTTCTTGAGTTGTCGCTTGAGCAGCATCCGCCTCCTGAATAGTAATGGTTTCAGGAGCAACGTCACCCTCCTGGCCAGTCTTGAGCTCTTGCGCAACAACGGTTGCCTGGACTGCGTCGGTTTCACTGGCCGCGGTCTCGACGTGATCAAGACTCTCGGCTTGCTCAGCTTGAATAGAAGCCTGAGCATCGTTGCTCACGCTAACAGACTGGGCTGTTGCAGCGGCACCGGTATCCATCACTGTACTTGTCACTTGAGACGCATCAACGTCCTGACCAGTTTCGGCTTTTTCTTCATGATTGCTCTCCTTTGCGCTCTCCTTGGAGATGGAAAGAGAGGCCAGATGTGGCCGTGTCGCCTCAGGGCTGCTGGACGATTGCGATGGATGTTCAGCTACAGATGGCGCTGCTGTCGCAGCACGACCAGGTGACACGTCGACAGGCCTTGAGTCTGCGTGCAGCTGCGTTGGAGTTTCCGGCTCTTGCTTGACCAGGGGCGCTGCAGATGTTGAGATGGTCTCATCCGACAATTGCTCCTCGGGCTGTTCAGCTTCTGCAGCAGGGTAAAGTTGTGGGCTAGACTTTGAGTTTTGATCTGCCCGGCTTGTGTCCAGCGTCATGGCATCACCAGTCAGATCGGCATCATCAACCTCTGGGGCGGTAACGACAGGTTCGACAGGTTCCGAGCTTGGCAGAGCTCCGTCAGACTGATCTGTTGCAAGGTGTTCCATGGCGACAGGCGACTCGGTCACTTGTGGGGACATGGTACGCGTGGGCATGGGCGGAGCGCGTCGCGGGGCGGGTTCCCGAGGAGGAGGCACACGGATGGAGCCGGCGTTGGCTGATGCAGTAGAAAGGGCCGACACGGTGGGCCCCAATGCTTGGTCATCATCACTTTCCTCCTCCTCAATGCCCACTGAAGCGAGTCGCGGGACCTCGACATAGTCGGGGTCAATTTGTGCCACGGCAGGTGCACTTTCTTCTGTTGTCACTGGGTCACTAGGGCGTGCAAAGACAACGTAGGTGGGTTCCACAGCTAGCGGAGCCAGTTCGCCCCCGGCCTCAGGTCCCATGTCCTCATGCGGATTGACAGTAGCCTGCGCACGCTGTCGCTCAAGCATCGACCGCTCACGGCTCGAGTGAATCATGGAAAAGGAGGAACGGTATGAAACGCCATCAGCGCCAGATTCCGAGTCGAGCTCGGCAAGCTCGGCCACGAGTCGACTGGCTCGGCTCGAGGTGGGCTGGGATGCTGTGGCATCGCTGCTTGAAGTTTGGTCCAGCTCACTGCCCAATTCAAGGGCCAGAGCTTTGCGGTCTTTGGTTGTGGAACGGTGGCTCTGATCTCGCTCCAGCTTGGCGCTAATGGCAGCGCTTGCGGCGGTAAGCTCGTTGAGGGCATCGTCCAGATCCGCAATGCCGGTTGAGGTTGAGCCGTGGCTAGCCATGAACCAACCCATGAGGTGCAATGTAGTGGGGAAAGCGAGGAAGGCTGGCAGACCAGAGAATGTGCAGTACTGGCGATGGCAGTGAGGGGAACGCTAGCACGTGAGGGACATACCGATCAGAGGGCGGATCCGGGTTGGAAATGTCGGCCCCACTCTGTCATGAGGCGATGGCAGACCACGGGAAGGCGCAAGCAGGAACGGGGTGAGTGTGTGCTCACGTATATGCGCAGCTTGTATTCATTGCAAGAGGAGCATGGCCGTGGCGCACAGCATGTCATGATGACCAACTATCAACAACAGTACATAAAAAACAAAACAAAAAAAAGGACATGGCAAGCGGGAGGGGGCGGTGCTGGCCAAACCTGTTTGCGTCGGAAAAGCGTCTTCATTCGACTTCTACACAAAGGCAGCAGCGCCAGCGATGAGGGGCAGGTCATCATTCACTTCAAAGGAGCAAGACCGAACGCTTCAGAAGGACAACGCACGTGAGGTTTGGACGAGCATCACTCATGATGCCGATCTAGCAGCTCTGCCTCACGGCACACACAGGTGCCGTCTTCCACAACCCTCTTATCCCGTGTAGCCGTATCTCTTTAAAACCCACATCGACCCTACGCCATGCCGTACACCATCCAGCTTCTCCGCCCCGCCAAGCAGCCGGAATTCTTCAAGGTCCACCCCCGCCGCAGCAACAGCAGCCGCAGCAGCAGCAACAGCAACAGCAGCAACAGCAGCAGCAGTAGCGGTCAAACGTGTCAGGACTTTAAGCAAAAAGCAAAGAGAGAGAGAGAGAGAGAGAAAAGCAAAGACACAAAGGAAAAGCACAACAGGGTGAGGTGGATTTAAAAAGCGCGCTTGAGGAAGCGCGATCTTATTCACACTTGGATCTCTCTCGTAAATAAAGGTTGACAACACATGTTGTTGATAGGAATGACTGCCAGTGTTTTGTTGGCTTTCTTTTGTTATTTTGTTTTTGTTGGCTTGGGTTTCATTTTTCTTGGCCGCTGGGCGAAACGGCAGCGCGCAGTGGAAGGTGTTCTGGATCTTGAGCGCGGCCATTATTCAAAGGCTAGCGGTTATTGATCTTTAATTTGCTAGCGGGAAGATGGCTTCCGCCCTGCGCTGGGCAGCGCCACAACTGCGGCGACAGATGTGCGCGCGCGATCCCACAGTGGTACGTACATGCGGCAGTCCTGCTTACCTGTCGAGCGGTCAGTGTTCATTCCTAATGCCAAGCCTTGTGCGCTTTCAACCTCGATCTAGCTCGCACGACGTACGGAGGTGTCGTTTCGGAGCCACGAGATCATTCCTGAGCGACCCAACAATTTGAGCTGGATCACCTTCATTGGCTTTTGCGTCGTGACACCCATTTCGATCTACGCCGGCGCAGAGACAGCGCGATACTTGGTTAGCTTTGTTGAGGACAACGACATTTGGCACTACGAGCCCGATGACGACTGAATGACCCTGCCTTGTACATTTAACCTTTCCAGCCGCCAACGGCCTTGCCAAATGGAGATGTTTTGCCTATCCTTCTCAGCCGTCTTGGTCTCACCTGACAGCTGATGGCGCCATCTTTTGAACATTCTTTTACATGTTAACATGATATTTGTTGGCTGCTGTTGCTGTGCGTGCGTCTGTGTGCGTGTGTTTGGCCCCGAGGTGGGTGAGTCTACTCGTTGGTTCAAATTTGTTCCATGAATTGGAATCCATGTGTGATATGACTTTTGTCATGATGTTAGTCCAGAAACAACGACAACCAACGAGCGGCAGTGCGCACCAATGAAGATGTGGGGGCAGACAGAGACAGGGCTCGGTAGCAGGAAAATGAAAAGGAAATTTAAACGCCACAAAAATGACAGTGGTGAAAACTTAAGAGAGAGGGGCAGCAGCTTCTGGCGGCCTGTGCGGCCGCCAGGGTCTGCAGGAAAGTAAAATCTATGTCCTAACCTGTGGGGTGGACAGTTGACACGATGAATGACAGAGGCTGGAGACACGCCGTGAGGCGAGCGGGGCAGTTTTTACCTGGAAGTCGCCAGCTGAAGTGATGTACTTGACGCCCTTGAATGCTTTGTAGGTCTACAGGACAACGAAATGAGCTACAACTCCCCTGCCGGCATGGCCAGTAGAGGTACGCATGCTTCGTGGTTGGTTTGTCAGGATCAAAAGACTCACCTCGCGGTAAATGTCGAGACGATTGACCTTGAGTCCTGAGGCGGTGTAGCCCGTGGTCTTGAACTTGACCTGGACCGGAGGAGTGCCGTCAGGAATGGCCTCGGAGACGCCAAGCGTCACTTGGCCGCGAAGGGAGATGGAGCCGCTTTCAGGCAGACGCTTCAGTTCCCAGCGCAGCGTCTTTGTCATTTCTTGGAAACTGCAGTGTCCTTCTGCTGCATCTGCGCTAGCGCTGCTCACGGCCTTGGGGAAGCGGATTTGAATTTGCAAACCTGTGATAATTGGCATGGTCCAAAAAGGTTCGTTGGCCACAGTTTGGTGTGAGATGCAGGAAGACATGTCTGTGGTGTGGTACGGACACCGCAATGTGTGCATAGCAATGCATAATAGATCCGTGTGGCGGACCTTCAACAACTTGATCGGGCCGAGCCGAGTGAAGGTCAATCTCAATGCGGCCCGAGCCGGTCTTGGAGTAGTTGATGTTGGCGCGCACTGTAATGGGGAGCTGAGAGAGCGAGTGCACAAAGTATTGTGCTAGCACAAACTTGCCATCCTGTTTGCCGGTCGCAGTGACACATGTTCGGCGTCAAATAGGTTCTTCTCGTCGCGCGTTGAGAATAAAACAAAAAAAAAGAAACGGGAGCACAAGACGTCACTCATACCGGCGGGACAAAAGACATGATGCGCTCGGACGTCCATTTGGCAATGCGCACGCAGGGGTGGAGAGCCACATCATCAAAGAAACGTGCGTTTTGAAAGCTAAGGGTAAGGTCGGGAAAGCCGGACAGATAGCAGCGGCAGTTGATGGTGCCCTACATGCAGAGCACGGCCGCAAAAGAAAGTTGGCAACAAAGATGTGAAAGGGATGGGTCACTCGCTGGCGCTGTGAATTGAGAGCGCGGCCGAGACAGAGGTGCCAGATGCAGTTGCGAAGTTGTGGCCATTGTGCATACCGTGACTGAGGAGGCAATGGGAGTGCCAGACTTGCCAATGATGGCATCCACTTCTTCTTCAATATCCACAAAGCACTCTAGATCCCAAGAGCCACGGTGAAAAGCCACGTGTTGGCAAAGCGCGATGAGCCCAGGCCCGCGCGAGTTGGCAGGGGGGACACACCGTTGGTCGGGTAGCGGGCATGGGCCTTTCGCCAGTGCGTGGAGGTCAGCTGCCCTGACGGTAAAGTGTCGGAGAGGCTAAGGGAACATCAAAAGGAGGGCTTGTGTCAAGCTTTTGCGCGGTTTCGGTAGCGCAAGCACACCAGGCCGAGTTGACCAAAGGCAAGGGGGATTCAAAGACCAGCATTGGCGTACCGCTGACGACGGCCAACCGCATTTTGTGCCCTGTTGAGCATGGTGGGTTTCATGATCATCTCCTGCAGCACGTTGAGCTCCATGGTGAGAGGGAAACCATTGTCGTTCATCTCCTCCAAAAGTTGGTAGATCATGACGGCTTCGCGATGAACAACGCGATCATTGATGGTGCCAAAATAGTCTTCAAACACGTTCACGATAGCATGCATAATCTCCGTGACGGTCAGGGGCGGTGCTACAGAGGCGACAAGAGTCGCAGTTACACAGTTACAAGCGCCAAATTAGAGAAGGAAAAAAATAGACGGCGCGTTGAAATGTTGTGGGCAGCGACGACCGGGGGCTGTCAGAAGCTGCTGTCCTGAAGCGAGACGATGGCATAATGACTCACTCTCCGAGGTGACCACGGCGACAAAGACCATGTTGTGTTTGATGATGTTGATGAGGTAGTGGCGGCCACCTGGAATGATTGGTGGCACATCCTCCAGCGCATCAGCCTAGTAGGGGATGGGATGGGGCAGGGGGAAAATCGAATGCCGGGTCAGAATGGCAAGGTGGACAGAATTCACCTCGTTGCTGTTGGGGAGAAGTAAACCGAGTCAGTTCGCACGTGAAGAAGCGCCTCTTGCAAGGGGTCCAGCACGTTGCGGGGCAGTGGGCTGCGGTTGTGCTTTTCGACCAGCACATCGCTGCAAGAAAGCAGGTTTCGGCCGAGCATGGCGATAAAAAAGAAAGAGGTCAGCACACTGTAAGGCAAGCACAACATCTCGTCCTTGATACCCGGCGGGGTGTCAACTGCATGTGACATGTCATTTCCTGTTAGGGTACGCACCCGGTGGGCTGAAGAATGAAGATGCTCACAATCATGACGCTCTGGTGGCTGTTGAACGTTCAACGTGCCGTGAGGGCTGATCTCTCTGCGAAATCACGCAGGCGCACAGTGAGATGAAGCAGAACGAGAGATATGGTCCACCGCCATCCTGTCCGGAGGTAGAGGTAGAAGGTGTGCATCACTGAGGAGCATTGAGCCTCAAGATCTCCCCGTCCTGGCTTCCACGAACCTCAGTTCTACTGGTCCTGGACTCGCCAGCGACACGACCAACAACAACAACAACAAGATAAAAAAGTGAGAGAGAGCAGAGAATGACCCACCGAACACTGACATTTGGTAACAGATCCTCCAGCCAGGCAGTTGTTGTTCATAAATTGTCAGACGATTTGAAAAAAAAAGGAGAGAAGTGTGTGAGTGTGTGTGTGTGTGTGTGTGTGTGTGTGTGTGTGTTTGTGTGTGTACGAGTTGGAGGCCTAAGGGGCGACGCTGCCTGGTTGACTGGAGGCGGGGTCGTCGGGGCTGCGGCGGGTGGGGGTGGGAAGCTGGCGCGGTCATTCCGTCTGAGGACTAGATTGGAGCTTTCCCCAAGGTTTGGATTTTGCCAGTTGGTGATGGTGGGTCTTGATTGTAAGGACTGGCGATCATCAATTGAACTGCTTCCTCTTTTTCGCCAACAAAAACCAAATCGATTCCAAACAGCGGCAGCGCCCCATCTTCCCAAAGCATCGGGTCGCGATGGCACTGGTCATACACACGGCCAAAGCATACAGACAACCCAGCCCCCCACGCACACACATACACATACAGACGCCTCCAGCAACGAACCTGTATCCCTCTTCAGCCTTATTCCGTTCTTGCCAGCAAAACAACCAGTGTCTGCACGGGCAAGATCTCTTTTTCAGATACATGTGTGTGTGTGTGTGTGTGAGTGAGTGTGAGTGAGAGAGAGAGAGTGTGTGTGTGTGTGTATGAGTTTGCTAACAGAGATCTGATCTGGTGAGCTGCTTCAAGCGCGCCCGTCTTTGCGCCCTTGCCCACCCTTCTCACCGAACTGACTGACTGACCACCTGGCTCGTTTTGACAAAGTCTGCTCTTCGTGTGTCCACCCTTGTCTGTGTGGGTGCATCGCCAAGGGTGGCTGGTTGGTCTGTGACCTGCCGCTCACGTGGGCAAGAGAAGAAAAGGGGTTTTGCGCTCAGGATGTCGGGTGCTTTGATGAGCCGGCATTTTCTTGCTCGCAGAGCTGCTGTGTATCTCACGCCCTTGCCACCCCCACCCCCACTGCCACCAGGCACCAGGCTTTTGGTGATTTTACGCGCCATCGCCTCTTCTTGAGCTTCCCCTTCCCACCCCATCCCCTGACTACACAACCTGAATCATGTCGTCTACCTTGGGCGTGGTTCTTCAAGTTTTTGCCACACTGGCAGCGCTCGGCGTCATCGCTTGCGGCGCCATTCAGCTGAACGACACCGGTGCGTGCGGCCAGGCCAACAATGTGGCCAAGTGCACGTGATTTTCTCTCGGCCAAACATCTCACCTGACCTTTTTTTTGTTTGTGCAGGTAACTTTGAGGTTGAGTGGTGCCGCCATGACGATACCAAGCACTGCTGGACGCGGAACCGCAATGCAGATGTGGCCATGACCTTTTATGCCATCTCCATCATTCTCTTGGGCGTGGCCTCGTTTCTGGGCGAGATTCGGTCGGGCATCATTGATCGCCCCATTGGACTTTTGATCCTTGCTGGCCTCGTGACCGTGGGCTCGGCCCGCAACACGGGCATCATCCTGGGCAGCTATGCCGCCTGCATTGGTTTGCTGCAAGTCGCCATTTATCTTGTGCACGGCTCACTTCCCAAGGGTGGCAACGCCTCCAAGACCAAGGTGCCCGAAGGCTATGTCAAGCTGACCAAGGCCATTGCACTCACAACCATGGTCGGGGTTGCTGCCGTCGGCGGCATTGCCCTCTATTCGGTAGCAGTCAAGGATCGCCACGACTTGGACGGCGCTGAGCTTGAATGGTGCGAGCAGACTGGCGAGCGGTACTGCTGGCTTCAAAGCCGGATCAACACCTACGCCCTCGGGGCGTACGCCACCACCCTCATTCTCCTCGGCATTCTGGGCCTCCTTGGCTCCCTGGGCGTGTGGGACAAGGCCAAGACGTTGCGCAACACGGGTGCATTGGGCCTCTTCCTCATCGCCACGGGTCTTGTCACTCTTGGCGCAGCCGGGAACGCTGGTATCGTGGTGGGCGCGGCCGCCATTGCCGTGGGCATTGAGCTCATGGCCTTTGAGTACGTCTTCAAGGGCGATTACGACCGTGTGTAAGGTATCGCTGGCCACGCAGTATTTCTGAAGTCATACCCAGTGCATAGAGATCATGCCACGCACCAAATTCCCACCCCCATAGCAATTGAGACCATAATATGCTGTTAGTCGACCAGAGGGCGCGCACTCAATTGCACTCCCAAGGCCAGGCAAACAACGGTTGACGCATCTGCGCTGCAGCTGTATACACACATTCACTTTCACATGTCAAGTTCACATCGAATTCGCGTTGACCTATTGAGCAAGAGCAAAACGGGCAGACTTCACCCCTTCAGTCACCAAAACAGTTTTATCCAAAGATGGATGGACAAGAGTGAGGAAACAAAGCCAAGGAGCTGGGCTTCAGGTACTGGTCCAATCTAATCAAATACAAGGAGAGGCTATAATGAGAGGAGACTGGCGAGGGAGCCGGCAGATTGAAGGCAGTGAGAGCAGAGATGTGCCATAATTTAGGACCACTGTGAAGTATTGTTCACCCCCTTCCCCCTTCCCGCGAAGCATATCTTTTGCAAACAAAGTCAGGTGCGCATACCGGTACCTACCCGAAGATATCTAAAGGTATTGGTCTGGACCACTGCGTTGGTGAAACACGTCAAGGAGATGTCCATCAATGGTCAAGGTGTACACATATTTGGTCCAGTTGAACGCTTCAATGGTCACACATCCCTCGTAGCGCTGGTGATCGCGCCCAGTGAGAATGAAACGCTCGCGACCCACCAATTTCAGCCTTTTATTCTACAGATTCGATGGCAAGTAACAGTGATCACATATGCACAGCCCTGCAGACCAAGCGGCGAACCCTATTCGATGGGGCTCATGCTGTGACAAAGCAAACCTGTTTGTTGATCACTTGGCCATCAACCTGTCAGCACGCACAGGACGGGGTCAGTCATCTCGAACGAGGTGGGTCAAACTGCAAGCCATTTCGCCCTCCTTTCTCAAGAGTGCCGTGCGACCAACATACGCGCAGAATGCGGCGGCCGCTCACGCCGCCGTGATCAAGCTCCACAAGATGATTCTCATTGTTTGGCAGGCTGACCGTCCAGCGAAGTTGGCCCCCCATCAACCCCAGCACCTGCGATGCCTGCGTTGATGCGCTTGACGAGCTCACACGACGCGAGTGGGAGCGAACCATGCTTGACCGCTTGCGTCTCCTCACTTCTCTTCAACCCGGAGAGCAATGAAAAATGCTCGCGCGCTGCGAGTTTTCCAACATCATCAAGCTTGCATGCACCGAAAATCGAACACAAGATCTTGTTTCGGAGTTTCTCTGACAAATGTGCTGCTGTTATTCCGTATGACCCCTTAGCGACGTCGGGCACAACACCAGGAGCGGCACGGATCGAGCGCAGGCACGGATCGCAGTCAACCGATCCGGTCTGTCAGACCCATTCCTTGTGCTCGGGCGTGTCTTGCCGAGCGCCGCTACGCATGTGGTTGTGCGCATGAGCAGGCGGTCCCTCTGTGAGTGCAGCCATTCGAGGGGGTGGCGGGTGTGCGTCAAGTTTCAAGTCGCCCCACGCTGCCATGGCCGTCTCCGACTCGGAAGCCTTGGCTGCCGTCCTGGCCGTGGCTGGTGCGGAGTTTGATGGCTTGGCCGGTAACTTGGAGTCTGCCCGCAACGTCCTGATCAGTGGGCTTGGTACAGCCATGCATAGTGCAAAAGGTAAGCGCACCCTGAGTCAGAGAGGAGCTGAGGTCGAGATTGCAAACGGAGCCACGGCTCGCTGCAGCTGTCGCTCACCAGGTGCATGATCAACGCGGATTGCAGAGGCTGCCCTGGCACAGCGCTGGCTTGAAGCCATCGTCCAGGCTCGACGATTTGCGGATGCCACGGCCACCTTACTCGTTCTCAAATTTTTGCCCAACTTTCAATACCTTGAAGGTGAGAAGCTGCACTCGAAAACTGCATCCGAATGGTTTTTGAATGGCTTCACACCAATCTGTTATTTTATGCATCAGACATCACTCAAAGTGGACCCTATCAAGAACCCATGTCTCTGGGTATGCGCATACACGAGTATCTGACCCAGACCAAAGTCCCACCCTCGGTGCTGAATGCGCTCGAGGAACTGCGGGTCCTGGGCAATCGTGCCGTTTTCGTGTACGCCGACCCCGAGGTCGTGGGACCCAAGGATGTCAATAAGGTACACCCGTGCACGTTCCCTCAGTGACACGTCCAATGCACCCCACACCTTTCCTTGACGTCTTTCAAGCATCAGTCGCTGAAAATAGACAACGAATTCTAATCATGTTCGCGAGCTGTTCCTTCTCACCATGACAGGTTCTGCTGCTACTGCAGCTCATCGGCCGCTACGTTGTGCGGGGCGGGAGCGTGGGCTCAAAGCTGATGCTTTCGGCGCGACCCGGGGGCAAGCGCGGACCTCCCCCAGGTCTCGAGGGTACCTACGTGGCTGATCCCAATCGGCCACTAGAAATGCAACAGCAGCCGCTCAGCACCGAGGAAATTGGTGACGTTCTTTTGGCAATGTCTCAGGAAGAGCAAATCCTGGCCGAACAGCAGCGCGCCGAACAGGCCCAACTTGAACTGGCTGCTGTGCTTGCAGAGCAAGCTGATTTTGATGCTCAGCTGGCGCAAGAGCGGACCCGGGCCCAGCAGTTGGCCGAGCAACTCGCAACGGCTCAGAGCTTACTTCGTCAACAGCAACAACAGCAACCTTCCGAACAGGCAGCAGAGCCCATGCCAAAGGAACAGCGCAAAACTCAGAATGCCAAGCCCCATGGACCCAGCCCGGCGGCAACAAACGCTTCGTTGCCGGGCCGGGCCCGAGACAAGGGCAGTCGTATTCCTGCGCACACAACACCTTCGCCGGGTCAACAACGTTCCCGTCTGCCGGCACCAGGAAAACGCCAATCCAAAGCACACGGCAAGCGCGAACCTGCTGCCATTGCCAAAGCCCGTGCCAAAGCTCAGGCTGACCCAGGGACCAGTTCCACCACCTCTGGTGATCCACGCCAGTTTCGAGGCCCGGGTGGATTAGTCAAACCTGCTGCCGCTCCAGCAGCCGGCACACAAGGTGCAGATGTGGCCACTGCGTCGCTGCCTGCCGGCGTGCCCATTTCTTCGCGCCTACGTTTGCTAACGATCGACCAAGGTGGCGGGTTTCAGATGCACCACAGCACGTTGCAAGAGAACGTTCAACTTGCTGGCATGAATCGCAATACTGCACCCCATGGACGGCATGCTGTGGCTACCGGCAAATCGATCTCTGAATCCATTCCCTGATCTGACTGCAAAGTCGAACATTTGGACAGAATGATAGGATGAACTTTGACTCTGAATTGAATTTGACGACAACGAGGGCGTTGATGCCCTTTCTTGCAAAATAGGCTTTCTATCGTTTCTTCTTGCCTGTACACAACCTTAAACGCGACAACATTCACAAACAAAGAAAAACACACAGTGTCGAGCGATTCGCAACGCACAAACGCTGTAGTTGCTGCTGATTTCCAAAAACCTGCCGTTAGTTGCGGCGCCTCGAAGAACGGCGGTTGGAGGTCTTGCTCTCGACAGAACCAGTCACAGACTCGCGCTTTGGGCGTTTTGAGGGAACGGCACCCTTCTGTTCATCATCATCGACCTCGTTTTTAGCAGCTGATGATGCATTGACGGTATGGGCCAAAACACGTGCAGCCAACTCGGCTTTTCGCCCAGTTGAATCGAGTCCATGCTCACGCAGCACGTCACGGAGTTCAACGACTTTGAGCTGCGAAATGGCCTCAGGACTCAATGCAATTTGAACGGCTTGCGTTGCGTTTTCGACAACATCTGTTTCGGCACACGGCATTGCCTCCTGGGCCTCGATGAAGGTATCCGGTATTTCTTCAACCGCGTCTGTCGAGCAGCTCGAGCCCACATTGGCGGCAAACATCAAAAGTCGCTCTTGGAGCTCTGCCTTGCGACCGCTTGTACTCAGCTGGAATTGTGTCAATGCCGCCCGCAGCTCAACCACCTTCATGCCCTTAATCTCTGCTTCGGAAGGGACAAGGGAGGCATCAACCGAGGGCTCCGCTTCGGCGTCCATCGACTCAGAGCCGCACTCGGAGCTCGAGTCTGCATCAGTCGCGGCTTCGGACACATCAATCATAATGCTGGTCTCGCCGTCAAAATGAATGGCCATTTTCTCACTGTTGGGCGCCGGTTGTGCCTCGATGAAGTCAACAAGGCGAGCTTGCAATTCCGCCTTGCGCCCGGTTGTAGGCAAATCCAAGAGTACGAGCATGTCGCGCAACTCCGCCACCTTCATGGCCATGACCTCTTCCATGGTTGGTAGATCGATCTCCATGATGTTGAGGTCAGCGTCCTTGTCTACGTCCCCTTCGGTCTCTGAATCTTCACCGACTGCATCACAGTTGTCGTTGATCTCTGTTTCGACCTCCTCAGAGATGACAGACAGCTTGCGACGACTGATCTTGATTGCCTCACGTGGCGTTTGCGAGCCAGGGCAAGGCTCGATAGCAGCGCTCAGACGAGCAGCCAGATCCGCCTTAGTGCCTGCAGTAGACAGTCCACGCTGTGCCAATTCAGCTCGTAGCTCCTTGACCAGCATGGCCTTTACATCAAGCTGTGGCGCCCCGCGAGTTGGCGTTCGAGGAGCCAAGTTCTTCACGAGAGACTGCTCCTCGCACTGAAGCACCAATGCATCTGCCGTATCAACCTGCATCGAGGACTCCTCATCTGTCATGACCATGGTTTCGCCATCACAGTCCATAACTTGCTCACTTTCAGTCTCAATGCCGTCACCAGAATTTGCAGCTTCGCCAGACTGATAGTCAAGCTCTTGAACAGACTCCTCTGAAGATGCAGACTGATCAATTGCTAAGGGTTTCAGCTCCACACCGGCCTTGATGGCGTTGCGCACCGGCGTGTTGAGCGCAGGCTCGGGCTTGGTCGACTTGAGCTCCACACCAGCCTTGATGGCATTGCGCACCGGCGTGTTGAGCGCAGGCTCGGGCTTGGTCGATTTGAGTTCCACACCAGCCTTGATGGCATTGCGCACCGGCGTGTTGAGCGCGGGCTCGGGTTTGGTCGACTTGAGTTCCACACCCTTGCGAATTGCATTGCGCACCGGCGTGTTGAGCGCAGGCTCGGGTTTGGTCGACTTGAGTTCCACACCCTTGCGAATTGCATTGCGCACCGGCGTGTTGAGCGCAGGCTCGGGCTTGGTCGACTTGAGCTCCACGCCCTGGCGGATGGCATTGCGCACCGGCGTGTTGAGCGCAGGCTCGGGTTTGGTCGACTTGAGCTCCACACCAGCCTTGATGGCATTGCGCACCGGCGTATTCAGAGCGGCCTTCAGAGTTTGGTCGACTTGAGTTCCACACCCTTGCGAATGGCATTGCGCACCGGCGTGTTGAGCGCAGGCTCGGGCTTGGTCGACTTGAGTTCCACACCAGCCTTGATGGCATTGCGCACCGGCGTGTTGAGCGCAGGCTCGGGTTTGGTCGATTTGAGTTCCACACCAGCCTTGAATGGCATTGCGCACCGGCGTGTTGAGCGCAGGCTCGGGTTTGGTCGACTTGAGTTCCACACCCTTGCGAATTGCATTGCGCACCGGCGTGTTGAGCGCAGGCTCGGGTTTGGTCGACTTGAGTTCCACACCCTTGCGAATTGCATTGCGCACCGGCGTGTTGAGCGCAGGCTCGGGCTTGGTCGACTTGAGCTCCACGCCCTGCCGGATGGCATTGCGCACCGGCGTGTTGAGCGCAGGCTCGGGTTTGGTCGACTTGAGCTCCACACCAGCCTTGATGGCATTGCGCACCGGCGTATTCAGAGCGGCCTTCAGAGCAGGTCGGGATTTTAATGTGGTACCGTGACGAATGGCGGCACGAACAGGTGTTGGTAGTCCGGCACGATAGAGTGGCTTGAGCTCCACACCTTGATGAATGGCCTCACGTAGAGGTGAGTCAACCACCCGTCGGTAAACCTTTCGAAGCACAACAGTACCGGACTGAATCTCGTTGCGCATTGGGGTGTTGACAGCCTTCTTATACACGGTATTGAGTGCAACTCCGTTCTGAATGGCTGCTCGCATTGGCGTGGCCATCACCTTGGGTTTGGTTGACTTGAGCTCCACGCCCTCGCGGATGGCTTTGCGCACTGGCGTGTTGAGTGCCGGTTGAGGTTTGGTTGACTTGAGCTCCACGCCCTGGCGGATGGCATTGCGCACTGGCGTGTTGAGCGCAGGCTCGGGTTTGATTGACTTGAGCTCCACGCCCTGACGGATGGCTGCGCGCACCGGGCTCTTGAGCGCGGGTTGGGGCTTGGTGGACTTGAGTTGAACACCAGCACGAATTGCCGCTCGTGTCGGTGTGTTCAGAGCCGGGTCGGGGCGAATCGACTTGAGCTCAATGCCCTCCTTGATAGCATCTCGAACGGGGGTGTTCATAGCCTTCTTGTAGACCTTTTGCAGGGGAACTCCAGCAGTAATTTCATTGCGCAGGGGCGTTGCTGCCCGCTTGCGACGCTCGCTGCTACGAGCCTTGGGAGATCCCGTGCCACACGAGTTAGAGGGTGTGGGGGTATGATCAGATGCCGTCGCTGCCTCATGACTGGACGGTTCAGCATCCATGCTGATAAGCGGGTCCTCCGTGGCAGCAGCCAGGATGGCGGCCTGAACTGCGCGAGCGGGAGTGCCAGGGGCTGATGCAGTTGGTTCGCTTTCTTCGGGAATATCGTCAAAGGAGATTAAATCGGGCTTGTTCCAACCCGCAATGCCCTAGACGGTCACAAGCAAAAAGTCAAATTTAGAAATTGCGGTGTGCGATTCGGGCTGATTACGCGCAATCAACCACCAGAACGCACCTTCACGTCATTCGAGTCTGTTGGGCGCCGACGTGCGGAGCGCTTGATAGACCCACGAGGTGTATGCACTGAGCCATACTTGATGGGTGTTGCGGGAGGCAGATCCTTGTCAAACACCTCAGGCGACAGATTGGCGCCGAAGGTGACCGAGCGCCGTTGACGACGGGCCGATCCGGGCACCAGCTCAGGTTGAGACAGCGCCTGTGCTTGCAGAGTTTGCTCGCGCAGTGGAGTTTTAGCGGAGGAGCGAGGAGCAGTGGATCTCTGTGGGGATTTGCTTGGTGTCTTGGCTGCTCCGCGCGCGGGCGAAGCGGCGCTCCGTTGCGGTGACTTCTACGCAACCGTGTTTGTGTGAGAGAGCCGAACGTGGGTCTGATTGAAGTTGTACCGGCATCAGACTCACAGTCTTGACGGATGCGTCTGGAAGGTAGTTGAAGCGAAACTTGCGGCTTCCAATGGAAAACACATCTCCGTCTGCCAGCGTCGTCATGGACGCTATGGCTTGGTCGTTCAGCAAGGTTGGGTTTGTGTCGCTCTGTGGCTCCAGTTGCACCTGCAGGCAAGGGGGACAATGGCATTGAGAGGATTCAAAATACATGTGACAGCTTTGAGTTACGTGCAGATGGGAGGCGTGACCATTACCTTGTTGTTATCATCGACCATCAGGCGGCAATGGTGCATGGAACATTCGGGCCGCTGAATTCGGATGTCACACTTCTCGTCCCTGAATCATTGTCAGAACAGGCGTGCATCAATGCATGGTGACGTTGATCAGTGAGCTAAAAAATTAAAAAGGAAGAGGCTCTTAGGCGAGTGTTGGTACACACGAGCGACACCACAAGGCCTCACCGTCCAAAGAGGCATTGGCGTGCTTGCAATGGAAAGCTTTTGCCATCACGCTTGCCATCACGACGGATGATGGTCACGCTCCCAAAGGCCATGCTGAGCAGGGTCGGAACCAGGCGCAATCTGGCCAATGGTAAGATAAGCCGCTTGCTACTTTTTCACGGGCGACCAGTCCCTCTCGTGTTGTACGCTGTGAGTGGCGCCGAGCCTAGAACAGGCGCACATTTTCAGGTAAGGATACGGGCGAGGGGGCAGGGGGCAACGGCCCAGACGATAGCCATGCTGCTTGATCCGAGAACTTTTCTTTCTTTTTTCTTCTTTTTTTAGCAAAACCGGTGATGCTGATCATTGACGGCTTTGACCCACCTGGATGATGTCTGGCGCGAGCTGCCGCGAGTCGCACAGGATCAAGGTTTCTTCCGAGAATTCCGGCGCGAAAATGACCGTATTTGAATTTTGGCAAAAATCATTCCTCTATCAATCTGAATGTATTTTCCGATCTAAAATGATATTGTTTTTAGGATGCAATTGAAATGCTGACAAAAATCCTAGACAAGCAACAGACAAGTTTGGCAGCCAACAGCAGATGACATTGTCATCATTTCTTGGCGAGCGAACCAAAAAGACGATGCATCAACCCTTGAATAAGATCATGCAGTGGGCTGGGGGTGGGGGAGGGGGGACGTCTCGGAGACAATAACTATGCATTATAGGTGGAGGAGGCAACATCACCACCGCGGCCAGTCCAGTTGGTGTGGACATAGTTTCCAGGATCATCAAGGCGCTCATAGGTGTGCGCACCAAAGTAGTCGCGCTGTGCCTGAATCAGGTTGGCCGGCAGGCGCTCCGAGCTGTCGTGACAAGAATGAGCCGAGATGGTGAGTCGTGTACACAACGCGCATGGGCGGCATTGCCCGAACACCGCAGCACAAAAGCCAAGCTCACCGGTAACCATCATAAAAGGCCAAGGCGGTGCTGAACGCAGGTGTGGGGATGCCCAAAAGAGCAGCCTGCGATACAACAATGCGCCAAGACTCTTGGCAGCGGTGGAGGGCCGCCGCGAAGAAGTCATCCAGCATCAGGTTGGTCAACTCGGGGTTCTTCTTGAAAGCATCCCGAATGTTGCCCAGGAAGACGCTAGCAAGGCGGAAGTCAGAGAAGGGATGAGGAACCATCAGCGGGTGAGCATGACGTGGGGGTAACAGTGTGCCGCGGGACAGGCAACGTCGGTAGTACGGCTCTGTGGCTTCGCGGTGCTGTCTGTGGCATACCTGCGAATGATGCAGCCACCTCGCCACATGAGGGCGATGGCCGGGTAGTTGAGCTCCCAGCCAAACTCCTTGGAAGCTTCGCGCATGAGCATAAAGCCCTGGGCATAGGAGACAATCTTCGAGGCGTACAGGGCCTGGCGGATGTGCTCGACAAACTCATCCTTATCACCCTTGTAGCGGCGCTCGGCGGGGCCCTGCAGGTGCTTGCTCGCCAGGGTGCGCTCCGACTTGAGTGCACTGAGGCAGCGCGCAAAAACAGACTCGCCAATCAAGGTAACAGGCATGCCGAGGCTCAACGAAGAGATGGCGGTCCATTTGCCAGTGCCCTTTTGGCCAGCCTTGTCCAGAATCTTCTCCAGCAGTGGCTCGCCATCAGTGTCATTGAATGCTGTGCGCCCAGGCCACGAGAGCAGAGAAGAGAAAGGTCAGGTGTGAACGAGAATGACAGAATACGCGGATCACACACAAAAAAAACACGTTGCTCACTCACACGACATCAAGGACAACTGCAAGCAAAGAGAGCAAACAGAGACGGAGGTACACAACTCACCGAGAATATCGCGAGTGATTTCAATCAGGAAAGAGTCAAGCTCGCCCTTGTTCCACTCGGAAAAGACCTGGCTCATCTCCTTGCAGGACATGCCAAGGGCATCCTAATGTGCCGACACGCAAGGTGTGTGAAACAGCACGCCTCTCAATATGATGATCACCAGGTGAAAAGAGTGTTGTGCAATCGCGAACCTTCATCAGCTGATATGCTTCGCAGCACAGCTGCATGTCACCGTACTCAATGCCGTTGTGCACCATCTTTACGTAGTGGCCGGCGCCTTCCTTGCCGACCTGGCACAGCCCAAAGTGGATGGGGTGGGGAAATTTCCAGGCGGGTGTTCAGGGATGAGGCGATGGGAAAATTCAAAGGCGGGAGGCCAGCATCAGCCAGCCTCAGGCTGGTTACAAGCAAGCACAAAAGAAAACTGCAATTCGAGAGCACAAGTCCACAGAGTGAGACGTACCCAGTCGCAGCAAGGCTCATCATCCGCCTTGGCGGCACAGGCTTGGAAAATGTCCTTGACGTGGGGCCAGGCATCGGGGTGACCACCGGGCATCAAGGAAGGGCCATAGCGGGCACCTTCCTCGCCGCCTGAGACACCAGTGCCGATGAAAAGAATGCCCTTCTCTTCGAGGGCCTTGCAGCGACGGTTGGAGTCGACGTATTCCGAGTTGCCACCGTCAATGATGATGTCGCCCTTCTCCAAATGAGGCACCTAAATGGCAATGGGCCGCGCGCACTCGCCCATGAGATGGCAGGCGAGCCCCGTTCCTAGTGTCTTATTCAGGTGTCCGGAGCTGGGTGAATCGGACGTACAATGGCATCGATGAACTTGTCGACAACGTCGCCGGCCTTGACCAGGAGCATGACACGACGCGGGCGCTTGAGCGACTTGACCATCTCCTCAATGGAGTGAACGCCGACGACATTGGTGCCGGCGGCCTCGTTGGCCATGAAACGATCCACCTTCTCGGTGGTGCGGTTGTAAGCCGTGACCTGAGGTAGAGGTGCACACGGTGATAAGGGGAGGGGCAACGTGTCGCAAGCAAGGGAGAGATCAGGCAAGACGTCGCGCCAGGCAGACGGAGCCCACAAGTCCAAGAACACGGGCCAGAAGACCACAAGAGGGAGGGGGTGAGCAAGCACTAACCTTGAAGCCGTGGTCGTTCATATTCAGGATGAAGTTTTGGCCCATGACAGCCAGCCCAATCAGGGCAATGTCCGATCTGAGGAGCAACGCAAGGGAGTGTGCTTCGCGTGAGCCCAGGATGCGGCGCATTATGGTTGGTGAGCCTGCGAAGCAAAGCCTGAGGCGCCAACATACTGGCCCTCCGACATGATGGTACTTTGAAAGAGCAGCGGTAAGCAGCTTCCTAAGATGGTCGACCAAGCCACGGGAGCGATGCGTGAGGAAGACGGCCACATGGAAGGAAAGGTGCTGTGATGCAGTACGTAACACAAGTTCCACGAGTCACACCCCGCTGCCCCTTCACATCGGCCAAGCCGGAATATAGGTGCAAAGGTGGAGCCCGTGGCTTGACTTACAAGCGAGAAGAGCTAGAAGTCAGGAGAGCAAGAGCAAGAGCAAGAGTGCGTGTGTGTGTGAGAGAGAGAGAGAGCTCCAGCCAGCGCAGCTCGCCAAGTCAGTGAAAATGGCAAGCCAAAGCCTTACCACCTTACCACCTTACCTCATGCTGTTGTAATCTTCCCCATCTGCTTGAGCAAGCCTGAATGATGATGATGGTGATGATGATGATGACGCTTGGTGTGTGTGTGTGTGTGTCGCCTTTGTCACATGGTCTCGACACACACAGCACACAAGCCCACAAGCTAATTTTATCTGACATGGGCACAGCTGAAAAAGAGTTTCCTGTAATGTCTGATGTATATCACACTTGTCTCAGCGGGCATACGCACAACGTGTGGTGAGAAGGAAAAAGCGAAAGCAATGACCATATTTCTTATATGTTTACTTTGGAGAGGTTTGTGTATTTTAAATTAATTTCGCTCGCTCGTTGCGCAAAGAGGTCGCGGGCGCTGCAGGATCATGTCGTATCCGCCCCGCGGCTGGGGTGGGCTACCTCCACATGGGCCACCACCGTACCAAGATAGTCGCTACCCACGACACGACTTTGCTGCTCCCCAACAATATCGCCGTCCGCCGATGCAACATGACCGACCTCCATCGCATTATCATGCGCCGCACTACGAGCGGCCCTCCGACCGTCGGCTCGACGACCGACACCGCCCATTCCATGGACATCAAAGACATTCGCGCCAGCACCAGCGAACATGGGAACGGGGCTCAAGGCATGGCCCCTCGCGTGAGGAGGAAGAAGAGGCCCGTCGCCGGGCTCTGGTCGGCTTGGACCGGCTCTTCGACAAGCACCAACGTCTTCCCGCAGACTGCTTTCAGGCCCTTGCACCCGAAGACGTGTTCTCCGTCGCTGAGCCAGGCCCTGATCCAGGTCTGAGCTTTACTTGACCCTATTGTATACGCAAGCGCCTGTCGTGCCCCCTTCCTAGCATCTCGCCCGCGCTTGTGCCTCACCTTGATGCCCCCCACCGCCACCAGCCCTGGTGGAGATTAAGGAGCGCACTGGGCGCGTGCGCTCAGCACTCGACCACAAAGACATTCACGTCTGGAAGCAGCTCACACGCTTCACCAACCTGACGGCATTTGTTCCTCGCCAACTGCGCGACCAGGTGCTTGCAAAATGCCTCAGCTGTGCACCTAAAGACCGCATGGCGGCCCGATCGATTGGCCGTCTCACCCGCGACGCCTACGCTCGCCATGCCCCGGTAGATTGGCGTCGAACTGCCCACAAACGCTTGGGCCAAGATGCGGGAGATCCTTTCCGGTTTTTCTTTACTTCGTAACACTGATCCAAAGTATGCCATTCATCATTTCCCACCCATATGCCCACCGCTTGTAACACGCCCAACCCTCACACCGCTGGGCGAGCCATCAGGGTGCGGACGGCACATGTATGCGAGGCGCCTGGTGGATTCATTGCCTGCACAAGTCACTACCTACGTGAACTACATGGCGAGGAGCTGGATCACGATGTATGTCTGCTAGTTTGCGACCCTGCCTGTCGCTTCCTACTGCGCAAAACTCCGGCTGATACGGTTTCGCTCCTTTGCCCGCACCGTTCATTCCAGTGGGTGGGCATGACGTTGAACCCCCACTACGAAGACAACAATCCCGTCGCCATGGTGGATAGTGACGCGTGGATCTGTGACACCATTGAGCACTGGGATTTTGGAGCAGACGACTCGGGCGATCTGATGCAGGCAGACAACGTGCGCAGCTTGTGGGCGCGGGTGGCAGAGATCGGCAAGGTATGTATGACCCGCCATAATTCAGAGCATGGCCAACAATTGGCCCATGGGGCTTCAAAACACCCATGGTCATGTGCAATGCGCCGCTTCCTGATGGACCTGCGTTCACAAGTCCCTGTGCTACTTTTTTTTTTTGGAGTGTCACCCTCGCGCGCGCTGCATCGCTCAGCGTCTCATCCATTGCACGGCATGTTTCTTGTGAGCCCCTGGCAGGTGGACTTGTTCACGGGCGATGGTAGCGTTGATTGCCAGCACGATCCCAACGAACAAGAGAACATCACTGCGATGCTTCATTACTGTGAAGCCGTTGCCGGACTAGGGTGCCTTCGTCGAGGTTTGTTGATCTCACAGGGGTCAGCCCACTCTGTCCATTGATCTCGCGCCTGTTGACTTACACTCCCATACAAAACTTCTTGCACCCCATTCCCGCACTCAGGCGGCGCCATGGTGCTCAAGACCTTTACCTTTTTTGAAGCATGTACCAACCAGCTCGTGTACCTACTGGGCGTTCATTTTGATGAGGTTGGCAACGTTTGATTGATTGTTTATTTCTTTTGCATTGCCGGTCTATGCCGTGAAGGGCAGCCTCTGACTCCACCTGACCACCCAAGGTGTGGATCAGCAAACCAGCATGCTCGCGTGCCTCCAATGCCGAGACCTATCTTGTCTGCAAAGGTCGGTTGTGCAAGTCTACCCACTCCTGATTAAGCAAGGCTTGACCCAGTCCTCACCCCGCTGCGTCTATGCCCACACACACACACACACACACACACACACACACACACACACACACACACACACACACCAGGCTTCAAGGGTATTGAACAAGAACTGTTGGATCGGTTGATCATGTTTGTGGACTCTGCCAAGCCCTTGGCCCCGGCGGTGAGTTGATGAGATTTGCGGGTGCCAAATCAGTGCAGTTGTGACAGCATGATGCACCACGCTCACATCCTCGATCGAGTGCCGTTGTGGCTTTGGTTCATTTGCAGGAATTATGGGCCTCGCCGGCTCATGTGCAGAGCGATGGCCAGGTGTATCTGAGCCTCATCAACCCTGCCGCTATCCCCGAGGCCTTTCAGACCAAGATTGTTGAGGTGTGTGTGTGTCTTTGGCGCTTGCTACTTGCTACGTCCTGTCGCAGCCGGTGCACTTTCAATGACGGCCAGAGCCTCATTGGACGTATGCAACCACGACACCTACGCAAAAACAACAAATCCCCCTCACCAAAAAAAAAAAAAAATAGTTGGCTGACTACTTTGCACACGCGTTCACGGAGATGATTGAGCGTAACATGGAGCTTGACAAGCGCAAAACAAGGCTGGAAGATAAGGTGTGCTTCCCTCTCGGCCATCAACTCGGTCTGCACGCACTGTGCTGACACGCCTCTGATGTCATGCTCGGTTGAGTTCATAGCTGATTAACAACGCCAAGCGGCAAGTTGCCGACGACTTTTTGCACCGATACCACATCCAGCGCATACCCAAGCACTGGAAAGTCGTGCCTGACCCCACTGTCGAGAGTGGCTACAGCACGGGCCATCTGATTTCCTCCCACCATGGAGGGGATCACCGGCGCAGTCACGTGGGCCAGACCTTGGAGGCACGCCAGGCTCAACGTCAAGAGTTTGACATGACTCGTGAGATGTCGCGCGCCGCGTCCAAGGCAGGCAGCATCGCTGGTACGCCTCGTCGTCCGTGCGGCCCAGCTGGTTCACCGGAACCCAGATCCCCGCAGTCCAGCGGGCGTGGGAGTCCCACCGGTGAGCCTCGCGCGCAGCGACCCAAGTTACAGGAGGAAGCAGCAAAGCCAGCGCCCCTACCCCGTCCTGCTTCACCTGAAGAAGGTGAACTTCCAGCACCACCTTTGACTGAGGGCCAGGTGAATAGTCCCAAGGATGAGGCAGGTGGTGCTCAAGCAGATCAAGCCGACGCCATCGCTGCTGCTACAGATGCCAAACTGAGCGTGGCTGAGAAAATGATGCGCAAGATGGGCTATCGCAAAGGCCAGGGTCTGGGTGCGCAGGCTCAGGGCATGGCTGAGCCAGTGGAGAGCTCTTCGCAGACCTCAACCCATGGCCTTGGGTTCCAAGATCATCTCGTCTTGAGCGTTGGGGATACCCTCCCCGGCGGTCCTTGGTTCTATGATGAGACTGATGATGCAGGCGTCCTTTGGTTGACAGATCGCGAGGCCGGCATCACAGCGGCGGAGGTGAAGCGATGGCGCATCGTAAAAGCCCCTTTGGTCGCGCTCAGTATGAGCAAGTTTTGTCGCGTTGAAATCCTACAGCGTCTTCACAAAGATCGGCTGAATCAGCTCCGTCACGTTTTAGCCGCAGCTGCAGAGCACCCACCCCTAGACTGGGCCGCATTGGAGCAAAGAGCTGGCATTGTTGCTGGGGTAGCTCAACACGCCCTGGTTCAGGATGCACGCTTTGCAAACTGTGCGCCTGCAGTTGCAGAGGGGGCTTTGGCATTGCATTCTCTTCACAGCGCCTTTGGCATTCTTAACACTAAGGCGTCAGGGCCAGTCGTGGCCCTGGGAACCAGCGACATTGTTCAGGGCATGAAGCGCGCCGTCACCAATGACCGCCTTGAGTCTTTTGTAAGCCTGATGGAAAAAGCCGTTGCTCTTCCTCTTCGTCGTCGTGGTCATCATCGTCAGAGAACACACTATCGCGCTCTTTGCTTTGTCCCCTGGCCTACTTTTCGATACGCTGTTTTCTGCTTCTGTTTCTTCTGCTGCTTTGAACCATTTCATTTGCCATCCAACTGTTTCTTCTCACTCCCTGCCAGTCGCTGCGTGTAATCTCAATAAACCCGGCCTCATTCATTTTCGTTTCCTGGAATTTTCGTTGCTTTTAGGAGCTGGCAGAGCCAGCCGCAGACTCGGTGACCTTGCTTGCAGCTGCCCGTGCTGTGCCGCCGGGCTGCGCCTCTGTGGTGCTGGCTGGGAGCACTGTGAAGCCAGATGTGGCTGCGCAAGATGCCTTTGTTGAAGCCTATGCGCGGCGACCCTTGATTGTTCAAGTGATGACGGCGTTACGCGCGCTGCAGCTCGGTGGCAATCTCGTACTTGTCTTGCCAGAAGCCATGACCCGCTTTACGACAGCGCTCGTGTACATTTGCTACCGGTGGGTAGTGGGCTTGAAGCGGGCTCTCTGGCCTTTTCACCCCGTGTCGTAGCGAGCGTGCAGGCGCTATGTTGTCTCACTCGGGGTGGAATCCGATATTGCATAGGTCCTTCGCCCGAGTGCGCTTGAGCAAGCCAGCCGTCTCGCATCCGCTGCGGAGCGATCGCTTTCTGGTGTGTGAGAATGCCAAAGAGACCGAAGCGGCATTGCTGAAATATCTCGAGGAGGTGGCGATTGCCCTGGACACGGCCGAGGCAGAGCAGCACACTGTGACGAGCTTTGTGACCGTCACTGGGCTTTTGCAGCGAGACTTTTTTCGACACCTGACCTTGGCCAACGAGCGCTATGCGCAACGCGAGGCAGCAGCAATTGAGCAACTGGGTGAGCAAGAACAAGCAAGCAAGAGTGAATCGGCAGCCGCCGAGAACCACCCACTGAACCTGACGGCAGAAAGCACCGCCACCCTCATGTCTAGCCTTGAGCTGCCGTGGCCACTGGCATCTTTATTAGCCAAGGGCGAAGCGCCAAAGTCGGGAGGGTAGAGCTGATTGACTGCATTGGATTTTTTGCTGAATTGATGTGCACTCTCCTCGTTTTGGCAAAGCCTTGTGAACATGAACCCGATCCTACCATGCGCGTTGTTGCTGTTCCAAGTCTGGTCGTTCACAGCTTGAGCGACTGCTGAAGCGAAGCCAAAAGATTTCTCTCAGATTTTTTCTTCTTAACGGTCAACAAATCGCACAAAATGGGATGGATGGCGTGCATGCAAGCATGATCTTTTTGGCGGGAAAGATAAAAAGGACTTTCCCGCCAAAACAAACGATTGCCTCATCTCTCTCTCTCTCTCTCTCTCTCTCTCTCTCTCTCTCGCGCGCGCGCGCCGGGCTTCGTGTCGCTGCAGTACCACAAATGCCTGCCAGGCGCTTTGAATGCTATTGCATTCACTGAGCTTGGAGAACGTGGAGCATGCTCGTCCTCAGCCAACTCAGCAGGGCATGGAGACAGTCCATTTTTCTCCTCGCCCCAAAGCGATTCCAGCGGAGATACACGATCACACACATCCGCCCACTGGCTGCCATCGCCCATCGTACTCCGCCGCCATGAGCACTGATCAGACCAGCATTTCTGGCTTGGTAGACAAAGCTTGGTGGTCTGGCCACGATGAGAACGATCCATTGGCCATCAACGTCCCCGATGACGCCCCCGTGGCCGTCTTTGACAGGTACACGCCTACTGCAGCATTCGCCAACCAAGTACAGGGCATGCTGGGCGCATTGCCCAGGCTGGGCACATTGCCGGGCTTTCTTCGCCTCTACTTCTCACCACACGACGCCATTGCATCTGGCCACGATAGTCTACCTCCTACTCCGGCGCCGCTGCATTTCTCGCTGCCACCCGCAACGATAGTGAGTAGCTTGCCAAGGCTCCTCAAAATGCAGGAGATTGTTGAGTGTCACTCCCTCCCCCCACTCTCATGCTGTTGGGCTCACTCCGGATGAACAGAGCCAAAGTAGCAAGCGCTTGCAGCATGATGCCATTGCCAGCACCGTGTCACCGCCAGAAAAGCGCAACAAGCCCATGCCTTGCAGCCCCGAGCGAGTTTATTCACAGCACCGAAACCTTCTTATTGCCCGTACGTCCGAGACGCCTGGATTCGCCTCGAGCCAGACGAGAAAGACCTCGCAACCGCCCACTCATAGCGCCTTAAACTCGGTGGCTGCACCACCAGATCGGGACGCCCTCTGTCAAATGGAGGTACCAAATCCTCAGCCCTCTGCACTGCTCCAACATCCCGGCATGAGCCCAAGCAACTTTGCTATTGTGCACGATTGGCTGCAACTAGTCGCAGCCGACCACGGCAGCTACAGGAAAACCTACTACTTGGCCAAACACATTCTCAATGCCTCCGTGGCCCGTAAGCTACGCTGTCTTACTTAAACATGTGACAAGCCTGGGGCGTGAGAACTGCGACGCCTTGCTATGAAACCGGGCTTACATGCCCGACGTGTGTGGACGATTTGCTTGGCGCGCATAGGTCTCGTGCCCAAATTGCAAGTACAGCATTTGCAGCTTTTTGCGGCCACTGCCTACTGGATTGCTAACAAGCTCGAGGTATGATTCCTTGGCTCAGCGAGAGAAATCTCGATTGCCAATGTCGTGTGGCCTGTTTGATGCAGCACGGGCTGCGGTACTCTGATCATGTCAGCAAGAAGCTCGTGCTTCAGCGAAACTGCAAATTCACAGCTCTGGGCGCGTCAATTCAGGAGACTTTTCCCATCAAGCTTGATCGCCTCTGTGCGCTGACCAAGCATGCCTGTTCCGCCAAAGAAATCCTTTGCACTGAGCGCCGGGTGATGATGGTAAGAATTTGTCGTGATAACGATCTTCTTTTTTTTTGTTTGTTTGTTTGTTTTTTTGTGTTTTCCTCGCAGACGAACGCTCATTGACAAAGGGGAATGTGCTCTGTCCCAGCTCTTGGAGTGGAACCCATTGGCCGTGACCGTGCACGACTGGCTTCAACTCTTCATGGGGCATACTGAACATCGATTGGGCCAAGCTCTGGCGCCCATGGCGCTATCCACACCCAAACTGCAGAAACTATATCTCAGCATCAGCCAGGTTCCAATTCTGTTTCTATCTGGCTCCTCTTGTTGCCGCCTGTCCTTTGATCCAGGGTCATCGTCTACACCTGATTGCACTGAATCGACAGCTATTGGATGTGGCCACGCTGGATATGAACGGTCTTCGATTTCGACCCGCCGTCTTGGTTGCTGCTGCACTCGCGCACCATGACCAACAGGCCACCCCTTTGCTGTGCCCAGGTAGGCTTGAAACGGTTGCCCGGGACTTGCGCATGCAGACCCGCGATAGCCTGCCACGAATCAATGCTCTGTTGCCGTGTAAATTTCTGACAAGGCTAACCCGGCATGAACGCTTTAGATGAGGCGAGCGCCACGCGTAGGTGCTTTCGGTGGATGAAGCCGTATGCGCGAGCTGTCCGTGAATTGGCCAATGAGGCCACAGCCCATGCACACCTCGATACCGTGGTCAGGAACCTCTCTACATTTCATTGACGTGCATATCCACCGTCGCACCACTCACGGCGCGGACGAACATTGACCGTCCCATAGTTGCGTTGGCCCCACGAGGGCGACGGCTCCATGATTCACAAGCAGACAGCCCCTAACGAGTTTTCCGTTTTTGAAAAGGTGTGTTCCTCCCCCATGAAACCACCCTGAAGCCCCTGGCATTGTGAGGGAAGCGGGCCAGCAGCAAGGAAACACATGCCAACGGTGACTCGATTGCTGGGCAAAGCAGGGTTTGAGAATTCCGCATGATGGGGAGCACAAGGCAGGTCAACCAATCAAAGCATCAGTCGCGATGAGCTCATCCGCACGCTCGCACGCACGCTCGCACGCTTTCATTTGAAGGCCCAGCAGCGCGTGTTTGCCCTCGCAGAGGACGATGAGTAAAGGACATAGTCCACAGAGCTTGTCAGGCTAGGAACTGACCGAGCCGTGCATGATTCCTCCCGGCCGGCAACATTGACAATAGAACTGACCCTGCATAAATCACGCAAGTCGGTTGGGATAACACAATAGAATGTCTTGTGCCTTCCTCTTGAACTCTATTCCTCGAAGCCAATAAAAAATGGTATCAACAGTGTCATCAAAAGCACACCAACGATATGAGATGGCCCGCATGACCATGATCTGCGGCTCAGACCAAGCCTCAATCACTTGATGAAGAGCAAATAGAAGCCCGTTGCTGCGGCTGTGAGTGAGACAAAGAGATGTAGTCGCGTTCCTATCACGGCAGCTATGATCGACGCGCACCGTGCACGAGCCCACGTGAGGAAAGAGCCAAACACAAACAAGATGCTTCAGATAGCATCCGGGCGCAGTCGGAAGGAAGCCGATGGATACCTTTATATAATGCGCCAAAGAAGCCCTTCTTCTCGCTGAGGAACATTTGCTTGAGTCGTGGCACGCGCTTCATGTAGGCACAGGTGCAGATAACCAGCAGCACGAAGATGACCATGCCATCCATATGAAAGATGTTTGCCATGTTGGACAGGTCTGCCAACAGCGCCGTCACCCTCAACACGCTCGCTTCAACAAAAAAAAAAATGAAAAAAATGAAAAATCTGATGAAAGTTGTGAATTATCTGACAACACCACACACTAATCGTATTGGCTTCTGGAAGCTGGATGGACCATGCGAGTGCCTGTCAGTCTGTGGGCCTTGTTGGCTTGGTGGATACACCGAACGGCGTCTATGTGTGTGTGTGTGGCGTTCGTGCCTTGCGTATCGTGCATCGAAAAGAGTCTTGATCAAGTCGCCAAGTCAAACAATCCCATCAAAAATGCCCGCGCTAATTTGTCCAGGCGTTGTCGTTGGGATATTGCTGCAGCCGAGACTGATCGTTGGCAAGGCCCTGAGCCTTAACACGGCCGGAAGCTCTAAGGCCGGGACCAATCTTCGTTCATACCAAGCTCATCGCACGCAGCCACCCACAGATGGCGCCGGCGTTTCTCGTTGTTAACCAAGGATGCGGTCGGTGCATCACTGCAATAGGCCAAGTAATCGCCTATGGATGCCACCCATGGAAAACACGACATCAAGTCACTCAGCCTGCACGCAGCCAAGCGCTGCTTTTGCAACACAGGGTGCCCAACGCAGCAACAACAGGGAACAGGCTCCGCCCCGCAACTGTGCTCACCTCCCACTCGGCCATCAAAATCGGGATCGGTCGCTACCCAGATTGTGGTATCAGAGCCAAGGCGAGCGTTCAAAAACATAAAGCCGACGACCGTTTTGTGTGCCCAGCGAACCCATGAGGGCAGCGTGCGCGTGACATCCGTCACAATGTTGCCTGGGTGCAGCGAATATACCTGCGCAGGCACATTTGGATGAGCGCTTCGAAATTGAAATGCTTTGAAACGTGAGGGCTGAGCCTTAACAAGGTGCACCTTGACATGGGAAAAGGCAGCCAGCCGTTGTTGCAACTCGCGCGCAAACATGACCTATCGAATGCACAGCACGCCGATGAGCACGATCCCCCGGGACAAATGCCCAGTCCCTTAGGCTTCGTGTCCTGGGTGACGGATGTAGCCCGGTCAGGGGAAAGATCTTGCCGTGTAGAGCTTGCTGTCGGCATAAGCCAAAAAAGATGAATAGGGTCGCCGAGTGATGTTAAAGTCGTCCCAATTGTATCCGCCGAGCTTGTGGATGGAGCTTGCCACAAACAGCACGCGAGGCGATGGAGCATTGCGCAGTGAGCCCAGAAGCCGGTTCGTCAACAGCACCGGACTCAAAAAGTTGACCTATAGCAGCTCCCCAGTGATAGGACGATGAGATGAAAGCCACCCACCCAACGGTCAAAAAGCCAAAGCTTGCTGCGTGTGGGTGCTGCAAACCACCAGCACGGCACAATGGCACGGACGGGCTGAAGGGCATGTGATCGACATGTGCCAGGCCTAACCTGTAGGTGCTCTTCGTATCGATCGGGTGTTTGACGTCGCTCAGACGTGCCCATGTGATATACTCCAGCATTGTTAATCAGCACATCTAGGCGTGGGAATCGAGCCGTAAAATCCTTTGCAAAGGCGTCCACGGCATCAAAGGAACAGAGGTCCAGAGCCATGACGTGCGCATTGGGCAGCGGGCCATGGGTCTGGCGCCATTGGTCCAGCAACGCCTCTGCTTTGCTGGTGGTTCGACAAGCCAGCACCACCTGATAATAGGACCAAACGAGCCTGTGAGGATGCAAGGGGTCGCTGTCACCGTTGATTGCCTGCTGGGTGCAGCATCCCGAACCTCAGCCCCAGCCAGGAGAAGACGGCGCGCTGTTTCTGCTCCGATGCCAGCCGAAGCCCCGGTCACCACGATAATCTACACGAACAGCAGGGCACATCACCCCCGCGCCATATGCAGATTCGGGTGTCAATGCTGTTCAAGCTGCGCGACGCGGACGACCTTCATGCCCTCTGCCACGCTTCCGCCCTTGCCAGCGAGAGGCAAGGGCGGAAGGAAGAAAAATAGGAAGCGGCCGAGGGATAGAGAGGTATACCTTGTCCTTGCAGTGATCTGGAATCTCTGGGACTTTGCCATGGTACACAGTACTCAAGAGCCGTCCAAAGAGAATGTCGCCGAGAATCGAAATCGAGGACGCTGCCGTCTCCAGCGCCATCGCTCCTGGTTCACACCAGCCTCCCAGCTCGGAGAATGATGTCAACTCTTGGTCGGTTTTTGTAGAAGTTTCTTCCCTTAAGCCGCTGCTGTTTAGGCACACACTGGGTAGTTGATGTAGAGAAATAGGCATTTGTTGTCGATGTAGAGGTGGACTCTTCTTTTTTTTTTTTTATTTTTTTTTTTTTTTTTGCGGGACTTGACCACGCGATGGCGAGCTCGGGACAAGGGCTTGAGAGTGGTGGCGATGGCCACGGTGCCGGAAGGATAGCAGAAACAACTCACTCCCTGGCACTGCAGATCTTGGCCGCTGTACCAGTGCTACGACTGGATTTACCAGCTGATTGGTGTCAAGAGGCGACGGAAGAAAGTGCGCGTGACCAGGCAGCCGTCGTCCGCGCTGTGCAAGACGTGTGGCAATATTATCCGGCTGCCGCTGCCTATCGGTCGCGGCTACTCAAACGTATAGAGGGCACTTTAGCTGAACCTGATGAGGGCTGGTACAACCTGCTCAGCGACGGCGAAAGCACAAAACCTGCTGAGCCCGGCTTCCAATTTCGTACATTTCGCCATTGCCCTGCCCCTTCCAAGGATCGCGCTGCGGCTGGCACGAGCATTACCTTGCACGAGTGCACGGCCTTGACTCAACAGGGCACTACAGGCCTGCGAACCTGGGACGCCGCCGTCATGCTTGCCAACCATCTCTGCGACACGCTCTGCTCCTCACCAGCCCGAACCTGTCCGACAGGCCCCTCCTCAATTCTTGAGCTGGGTGCTGGCACTGGTGTGGTTGGCCTCCTACTCGCGGGAACCCTCAACAAACAATGGCATCCTAAGGATGCGCAGCCGTGTGTTGTATTGACTGATTACCACGAGGCCGTCCTGGCAAACCTGACGCGCAATGCCGACCTCAACTGGACATTGCAGCCCGAGCCTCGCCCCACGTGTGCTAGCATTGACTGGCGAAATCCCATGCCTGCACACTTGGCACGGCCGGAAGGATATGATTGGGTGGTTGCTGCGGACGTCGTCTTTGATCCTCAGCTTCTTCCTGACCTCCTGGACACTATACTAGCAGCACTAGGCTCCAAGAGCCGGGCTTTCATTGCCACAACAGTGCGCAACCCGGACACGTTCGCGACTTGGTGCAACCTACTCGAATCCCATCCTGACCTGGTTGTGTGCACACATGACCTACGAGCGCTGCGCGCTGGGCATGTAGATCTACAAAGTGATCACCAGTTTGATGTGTTTCTCCATGAGTTAACTCGAGCCTCGCCCTGAGGGTGGGAGAATTGAATAGTAACCGTATGGTGATCATAAAAGGGGGGGTAGTGCGATGAGTAGCCTCTTGTATGTGGCCCTACCGGGCTTCCCGGGTCGTCTGCCCCCCCCACTGCTGTTTTGCGAGTGCCTAGCAAAGTTGTCATGAATGCATTTGGGTGCATATGTACATGGGCATGACGGTGTAAGTTTTCATTAATTTCAAAGTTTGAGGGAAAACGCAGCCAGCAACCCGAGGTGGCCGGACGACAATAATTGGACCAGACCGTCTCCCAATGCACCTACTCCCCGCCCCATTATTGAGCTATGACGCCTTTGTTAATGGAGGTGTGCGTTGACCATCCAGGCCACGCAACACGCGCAGGGCATCATGTTCTGTGAACAGACTGCGGTCCAACGTCCTAAAGTCAATGGGTTGTATGGGCTCATCCTCCTCGTCTAGGCTGTGTGAATCACTCAGATCGTTTGGTGAGTTGGGAACTTCGGGGCCGCTGCTAGGGCCTGGCTGGCGCGAGGCTGCGGCCAGCAGAGAACTTGAAGACCCGTCGAATTCTGCAGTCCGCTCATAGGCCTCCTTGACAATGGATTCCAGCTGGGCCTTCTGTTCCGGTGTCATGGCGTCAAATTTGGCCTCGAGCTGCGCGCGCAGGCGCTCAAAGTTGACCACATCGATCCAAGAGTTGGCATCCCAGTCCATTGATTCAGAGACAGCCTCCCCCGCCGCCGTGTTTGCAGCTGCCGCCTCGAGTGAATCGCTGCTCAAAGCTCGCACCAGCTCACGCGCCTGTGCCGACACGCCATGCGGGAGGTCGCTGCCTTCTTGAGCTGCAGTTGTGGCCATGCCGGAACCTGCGGTCCCTGAGGCCGCGGTATGAGACAACAGGTTGTGCTCAGCCTTTTGCAAGAGACCGTCCAGCTCCAAATCGGATAGGACTCCTTGTAGAACGCGCGTGACAGCGCTGTCCAGTTTGTCGTCTACCCACGACCGGATGACGCGCTCGGCCATTGCATTCAGATCCGCTTCAGGCCGCTCTTCCGCCGAATAGTCGTCAAAGTTTGAGAAAACCCCATCGATGGCTTCTTTGGCAAAGCGGTTGGCAATGATTGTCTCCACCGTTTTTCGATGATGCCCCTGAAAGGCTCGTCCCAAGACATCGTACAGCTCTTGATCAAAGTCGGCCAGTTGCAAAGCGGCCAAATCCTGCAGGTCCATCGGATTGTTCAACGCCATTCCTGTCATGGAGTTGGACGCGGATGCTTGCTCGGAAGCTGCTGCTGATGCTGATGCTGCTGTAGGTGGGGGCACAACATCGTTTGATCGAGCTTCAGCGCGGCTATCAAGATGGGGGTCAGCCCGACGAGAAACTGCTGGCCCAGGAAAGTGTGTGCCTGGTCGGTCCGTGTTCTTGGCCTTCACCGATCTCATGGGCATCTCTGCCATAGGAGAGGCAACATGCCGGTCCCCTGCGTCAAGTTGTGCCTCTGCCTCAGGTCCAATACCGGCTGCAGTTGACATCGTCGGCCCAGAAGGTGCTGCTGCGTACGAACGAAGGCGTTCATTCAGTGTGGCTACCATTTTATCCCACATTGCGTCACCGGCATTATCCTGCTGGCTCGCAGCAATCATCGCCTTGCCCGCGAGCTGGTCCGCTCTTGATCCCCCTGACGGAGCTGGCGTAGCGTGCCCGCTGCGATCAGGGATTGAGCCACCGGATGCTAAAATACTGGCTGCGGGAGGAATTGCAGCTGTCGACGCAGTAGTGTCGATACCGAGGGAGGCGGTTGAAGCCGTGGGCACAGCGGTGCGCGGCATGCTGGGAGGTTGGGCCGCGGAAGATAAGGTCATGGGTTTGATGCGACTGGGCATCATATCTTCCAAAAGAACGCGGGCGAAGTCCGGATGCGCCTGGGTCCGGAGCAAGTTGAGGAAGCGTTTGAAGCGCGGATGCACCACGCCATCACGATATTGACTGGCCAATTGCAGCACTTGCAGAAAGGGTTGCAGGGTGGCCAACTGCTGTACAGTAGATTCGCGCAGCGCACGTCGCACCTGCACACCTGCCATTTCTACATTGAGGGCAACAAGGCAGCGATGGAGTAGATTGGCTGCCAACCACGTTGCTCCGGTAGCAAGTAACCAGGCCACCCTTGCTTCAGGGCCAAGATTTGAGATGCTCACAGCCCCGAAAGAACTCTGCAGAAGCTCCGTCAGTGCATCAGCCAGGCTATCCACGATCTGCCCTAGCTGCAAGTCTGCAGCATAGCGCTGAGGGGCTTCAAAGGTGCCTTTGGTAGCCATTACGGGCAGGTCGCCCGAAGGGGTAACTTGCACTCGAAGCTTGAGCTGAATGCGCTCCGCGGTGGGACCTTCATCCACAGCAAATCCAAAGCTCATGTGGAAAAGTACGGACTCTGAAGGCTCTTGCTTGGGAGGCGGACACTGAAAGAGCTGCTCCAGCAAACCATCTGCCAAACTGGGTTGAGCGGTACTTGCCGCCTTGACATGGGCCAAAAATCGAGCAACGAGATTGTCCAGTTGACGCTGCATGGCAGGGGCAGGCGTCGTCGGTGTATCCTCCTTTGAAGTGGGGAGTTGGCGCACATCGACGGATAGTGCCACGTTGGACATCAGTGGAAGCGCGGGCGACAGGTGACCATGTTGCAGGCTCGCCACGACGTGGTAATCCATGAGAGATGAACAGAAGGGACGGTTCCAAGCGCGGATGGAAGCAGCCTCAGAGGCTCGGGCTAGTAGTGAGCGAGAGCGTGACTTCTCTGCTCCTGCAGGCTTTGAGCTGCTAGACGCAGCGGGAGCCGCGACTAAGCTTGAAAGGCCTGGTGGTTGGGTGTCCGCCTGCGTTCCAAAGGGGTGTTTTTAAAAGTCGTGAATGGCAGGATCGAGTGAGAACAAAGACAGTATCTTTTTCACGGACATGGGCTTGGCGCGCAATCCGGCAGGTGCTGGACAATAGAGCGGTTGGCAATGAGAAAGTACATACGTCCAATTGAAACGCAGGCGGTGGCGTGGTATCCGGGGGAGCGGCAGCGGCGGCCCCAGCCATGAGGCCGGGGTAACCAGCAGCAAACGAGCGGATCCGACGGGTCGCAGAAGCACGTGCCGTGTCCGGACTGATGCCGTCCATGGCCTCCAGAACTTCCTGCAAGACTGGACGGCGCACCTTGGACCATGCCTGATCAAGTGATAGCGTGGGGATGGAAGCTGCCGCGATGGGTGCCCACTCTGTAGCGGCGCTCGCAACAGCCATGCGCTCAGCAAGAGACACGGCCTCGAAATTGACGTGAGGCCAAGGATTTGCCCCCTATCGGACAAATGCCGTTGAGAACAGGGGATCGTTGAAAGGCATGATAGCAACCCAAAGATGTATATTCCCGAGCCTTGCCTAGCTCACTGCACAAAGTACACGCACCAGCAGGTCACGGATCACCGGGGCCAGCTCGTCGAGCAGAGTCTTGGTCTGTCCTGAGGCATCTTCACTTTGGCGGATTCGACAGAGCTTGATGCCCTCCCAAATGCACTGCGCTGCTTCAGACGGCTGATCAAGATTCGAGGAGGAAAAGAGAACAGAAAGGGAAGAGACGAGGTCAGGTCAGCAGGAATAGCCGACACCGAGGATATTGACCAGCTGAAGGAGAGCAATGTAGGCGCAGCCTTGGCCATACCTGTGCGTTGGCGGATCCTGCGGGAAACAGCAACTTTTGCAGCCCCGGATCGTGCAAACATGCTCGATACACCACGGTCAGGTTGAGGACGTTGCAGGTTGTGTGCGTGGTGTTTCGCGTGTTTGATTCTCGCGTGGCCAAAAGGCGCAGGCTTTGTGTGAATGATTCTGGAGAACCGAGCCCAGGCCATACGACAGGGAAACCAAAATCAGCGAGATGCAACAATGAGGCTCAGCCGTACGGTGCCCGAAGGCGAAGAAGCGAGCATTGCCTACCGCAGCCGTCGGCCTGCAGGATGGGGACTAGTCCACGGGCCGTGAAATCTGTCTCGCGGACGAGAAATGATAGTGCGTTGAGGGCAGCGGCCCAAAGTGTGCGATGTTGCCGCGTCAAGAGCTGAAGTAACACGTCGGCCACGCCCAGGATGTCTCCCTCGGCGGTGAAAAGGTTGGCCTCGATGACGGACAATTGACAAAGGATGGTCAAAAACTCAACGGAGCCTGGAATGCCAACTTGGGCGGCATGCACCACGAACATGACGTCCACTACGTCCACCACTGCTCGTAAAAAGCGAGTCCGCATTGCAACAGTGGCACTGGAAGTGATGGCATAGGTACACAAGCTGCAGGCAAAAACAAGCCAGGGATCCCAATGAGACACTCTATAACTTACTCGTCAAATGGAAGACGAGGACAGGTATGAACAAAGAAGGATGATTGAAACTGACCTCGCCATGATCAGATGGCAAATGTGTGTGAGCTGGGATTCAATGACTGGGCGCCGAGCGACTTGCGGAAGGGCTGCCAACATCAAGCACAGGCGCTAAACGAGCCACAAAAAACGCACCGAGGCACTTGTGAATTAAGTAAAGCAAGGTCGAGGACCAGAGCGGGAGCGGCCAACGGGCACACGCCTCCACACGAGCAAGATATGCAGCATACCGACGAGTCCTTGAGCATGCGCTGTGCCAGGCGCTCCACCACCACAATACTCTCGAAACATTGCAGAACCGCCATCAACTATCCAAATGAAAGGAGAAGCGAAATGAGAAGTGTATCTAGTTCTGGATAATGCTAGCTGGTTGCCAAACAGCAGCGCGTTTTAACATACGTCAGCGTCGGACACCGGCAGGAAATAAATGTAGGTAATCAATGCGAGTGCCCCTCGTGAGGCCAGTAACTCTTCGACCGTTTCCACGTCCACCGCCAAGACTGCACGGTTGAGAAAGAGCGCGTTTGTGAAAGCAAGCGACGAGGTGAGATGATTGCGAAAGAAGATTTCGCGTGGACTGCAAGCAAGGAGGCAACGCGCCGGCCTCTCAACACCACAAAGTGGCTGACGGGCTGATCAAGCAAGTCAAGCAGGCGCACCTTCGCCAGGCCCAAGTTCAACCCAGGGGTCTTTGACCAAAAGTGCGCGCAGAACTGAGAGCTCGAGGTTGTAGTCTTCGACGAGAAAGTCAGGTAGCGAGGACGCGGCATCGCCGGTAAAAAAGGGGGCACGCTCGTCGGCTGATTCGGGGCGCGGATAGACAAGGTCTTTGCCGTCTTCGTTGGTGTAAAGTGGCGGCGCCGTGAACCCTTTTTGACAGGTCACATGCCCCAGCAAGGTTGCAGAAATGGCTTTAATGGCATCACACCGGCGCGCAATTTGGTAGTTGGCCAAGATTCGTTGAGCCGCCGAGCGGCGAGCGGCATAAGGTGAAGTGCGTAAAACCAAGGTTTTGATGGCAGCTTTGATTGCCCCCACCTAGAGCATGGCAACACCCAAAGATGAGATCCGGGAGGCTGGGGCAATGCGCTGTGAGCCGTGATCAAATCAATCACATCCGATGACCCCACCTGCTCACACATGAAGCGATGGTGGGCAAACGCCTCTCGCTGACAGGCTTTGGAGCAAAAGTAGGCCAGCCGACACCACGAGCACACCATCATCGTCCCAGTGCGGCCACACTGGATGAAAATGAGGCCGGCAAGCGTGCGGTGAGGCAGGCAAATGCATGCAGCAGAGCCGCGACAACAACGGGGGTCGGGGAAAAGATGTCAAGTCCTACCTGGCCACAGGTACGGGCGTCCCCGGGCAGGCGGCAACGGCTGAGTATTTTCTTGGCTTTGCGGCGTAGCATGGTCTGGATACGTTGGGCAACTCCGGCTCGCACGGATTGCTGCATTGGTCAAAGGACAGGGTCAGCCGTGCAGTCGGGTACGAGTGGAAAGGTGGAACGAAGGCCGGCAGGGCGGCCACGCAGGGCGGTCACGCAGGTAGGGCGGATTGTGGTGGACCACCACGCTGCGAGAAATGGAGCTCACAGCTGCAGGGCAGGTTTGAACAAAACGTACCACGGGAATGCTGGAGACGTGCATGGCAAAATCTAGGGCTGACCGACCAAGCCAGTCAGTCAAGAGAACATTGGCACCTAGTCGCAGCGGAATAGGCAGGGTGCGTCAGAGTGGCCTTTGAGCTGGAGTTGACATGAAAAAAAAATAAAGAGAACACATGACACAACTATGTACGCGTACGCACACACACACACATAGAGCTGCACACAATGCGGGTAAAAGTTGGCATGGCATCAAGGGGCAGACAAACAGGTCCCCAGACGTATTCATCGCGCACTGCGCAAAGCGGGGCTGCACGTAACAGACCGTTTTCGAGAAGGGCACAGACGGCATCATCGCGATAGTAGCTGGCAGCTATCATCAGCGGGGTCTCATGATACTTGGTACGCGCATCTATCTCCACCTTGTTCTTGAGCAAGGCTCGGATAATGGCATCACGATTGTTGCCCGCAGCGTAATGGAGCGCTGTCCAACCGTCAACGCACTTGAGGTCAGGATCAGCACCCTGTGCGCCCAAGGCCCGGGCCCAATCCATGGGCAAAGGTGAGTTGTTTGAGGGCACAGATGGTCGGCAATGCGACATGGAGTGGCTTCAAGACAAGAAGCACACCTTGGCAAGAAGGAAGTGAACGACTTTGAGTTGGCCAAAGTCGCTAGCCTTCATCAAGGCCGTGCGGCCGTATTCATCAGTATCATTGACATTGGCGGGTGTGACGAGCTCTTCGAGAATAATCATAATGCCTTGCTGGGCCGCACCGTGCACAATGGTACAGGCCTCGCGCTCCTGCGATTCGGTACGATGGGCAGCCAGCGCATGTGGTAAGATGAGATGCAAGAGAGAATCCGAAGAGGGTTCATTGAAATAGCGTGCGGCAGGCAAATGTGAGGCGAGTCCTGAGCGCCTGACGCACAAAGCCATCGAGTCCCTCCGCCATGGCGCCGGTCTGGCCAATAAAGATGCAGCTCAGGCACGCTCGAGCGCGGCAAGCGGACGACTATGCTTCGTTTGATGTGTCTCGTGTGTGCAGGCGTTGAGCTGGGAATGAGCTGAAGCGGGCCGTTGCAGAGCTGCTGTCCATGCTGGGCCTGCGAGGCCGTGGGTGCCAGTGGCCCCGACGGGGGAGGGGTAAACCAACTCTTGACCTGATCGAGATGTCAAAAAAAAAACAAGAAAAGAAAGAAAAAAGCCCGCTTCGCGCCCAGCGGGCAGCCCAGCCAGCAAATTGAATGGACAGCCTCGAGGCACGCCCGAGCAACACGTGAACTCGGATGCTGGGCCGGCCGCAGTCAAGACCAGCCCACGGAGACCAACGGATCAAGAAGGCACCAGACCAGGAATCACACCAATTCCTACCCCCTCAACACCTCTACACTGGCCCAACTACCAGTCTTCTTGCTCGCTGCCCTTTTGGCACAGCAGGGCTCAACCAACAAGTCTTGTCGTCACACAAATGTCTCACGCTGCAACCTTGTGCTGCTGCTGCCTCTCTCTCTCTCTCTCTCTCTCTCTCTCTCTCTCTCTCTCTCTCTCTCTCTCTCTCTCTCTCTCTCTCTCTCTCTCATGTGTCCCTTGCAGTCTCCAAGTCTCTGCACAGACTCGTGGCTCGTGTCGCCGAGAAGAGCAGGGTTTTCTGACATTTGGCTCGGGAGAGGAGAACGGGTGTTGTGGAAGGTCATTTGTGACAGGTTCATATTTGCGGACATGCGATGCGGGAAAGAGGACAAGCCGGTCGTCATGCCTGACGTGCCAGCGCCCGCCCGCTGTGACAGGGTCCCGCCTCCCGCCCAACAACCCTACAAACCAAGCAGGAGATGGCCATGTGGCGGCTGGCTTGAACAGCTCAGCATTCACGACACAAGTAACTTCTACCACACTCGCATCCTCCAAGCGCTACAAGCGTACAGGCGTCAGGCCACACCCTGACGCTCGCATTGTTGTGGTGGACTGCATACCTCTATGCCCACCTCTCCCAGTGGTTGAAGGGTAGTCTTAGCGCCTGGCATGCAAACGCGCCCACCACCATCGCCAAACGTCGCCCATCGACACTTTTCCTTGCCGCTGCGTCGCCCCTGGCCGCCCGCCATCATCGTCAATTTAGGACGCAGGGCTGACCCGCTTGCCCCTGGGGCTCGTTGGTAACCATCGCCGGTGGGTTGCACTTGATACCGCCCTTGTCCGGTTCGATTACCTGCGCTCGGCGCGGCAATTCCCCCTTTGCCCGCCCTTTGGCGTCTATGTGTGCTCGACTGCCGTGTCCAACTTGATCTGCTCTTCTTACCCATTTGCTCTGCTCTGCTCTGCGTGGTTCTTGGCGATTTTTGATTCTTTGCTCTACAGCTCTCTGCCTCCCAGTCTTGCTGGATTGTTCACGGTCGGTCGCCAGAACTCGGATTTGAGCTTGTGCGCCAAGCAAGCCCTTCCCGGGGCTTTCTTTTCTGCACTGAATTGCCGTGCCCGCGACGTGCGAGGACTAGCCACAACTTGGCGCCACGACCCTTTTCCTTCCTCCCTCTCTCTCTCTCTCTCTCCCTCTCTCCCTCTCTCCTGTCTCCGGGCTTGTCACACCAACCACCATCAGCCAGCCCGACTCAGCCTCCACCATCATCACCATGAAGGAGAATCTGGAAGTTGATCCCGAACCTGTCCTGGTGGGCACGCTTCTCAAGCGCGCACAGGGGAAGAGCACCTTTGGACGGATGAACTGGAAACAGCGGTGCGTTCCGAAGCTCCAGCAACGCACACCTCTTTCCTGCTCTGGGCATTCCCCAACGAGGGAAGGAGGTGTGAGACATCACTTGCCATTGGCCATCGCTCGCTGACACGCTGTTCTTTTTCACTAGGTGGTTTGTCCTGTACGAGAATGAGTTGCAGTGGTGGTCGGCAGAGGGTGGACGCTACAATACACAAGCCGAGCTCAAAGGCGCCATTGACTTGGCCTCCATTCACGCGGTTGAGCACGTTAGCTACGATGCCTTTACCAAGGCGCACATGTTTCAGTTGGTTCACACCTCGCTCCTTTACATTCAGTGCAACACAAAACGCGAGTGCGACAAGTGGGTCTCGACCTTGCGCAAGTTGGTAGCCCACAACACATTTTTGCATCCCAAGTTCCACCCCGGCTTTTTCGATGAGCGCGACAAGGTCTGGTCGTGCTGCGGCATCCCCAGCCGAGACTTCAAAGGCTGCTTGACCGCCCATGACTATTCCCCGATCCGGAAGGAACTCGATGCCGACGAGACACGGCCCCAAGCCAAGCGCGGTATCAGCTCGAGTGCGGCTGTTGAGGAAGCCCACGCTGCCGATGCACGTGCTCGAGAAGAGGAGCGCAAGCATCAGCAACGGCACGCCGTCAATCATCAGGAGCATCGCCTCAAATCGGTCGACTCGTGTGGTGCCACCAACGTTGAACAAGTTGACCCCCGCCCGCCCCACAAGCGCAGCTCTCAAGACGCTCTCCGGTAAGTTGATCGCGGGCCTCCACCAGCTGCCTCGCGGGTCCATGCTCACGATACAAAACGTATGTGTGCACATTAGACCGATCTTGCTTCGACCAGCCAAGGTCACATATGTTTGATCAAAATATTATTCTCAGCTTAGGCAGCAGCGTAGTGTTTGGGGTGTGCTGGTGCGCCAACGCCTTGGCCTGTCCTTGTCATCGTGGAGTAACTTTTTTTTTCTTTATTTTGACCCGTGAAACTTGAAATTCGAATCACAGCCAGCTGGATGATGATGATGATGTTCTGAATACCGCTGTACTGAAACAAAGCAAATTGTTTGCTTGAATAATGAATTTGGTGCCTGTGGAGGCAGGGACTAAAACAACCCCGCTCCGACCAACGCTACCGCACAGAGGTAAGAAGCAACAACAAAACGTGAAACCAGCAGGCAGCGATGGAAGGATAAAAAAAAAACTACAGAACGAGATGCAACAGCAACAGGCAAAAAAAGGGGGGAACAATAGTCGTGGCAGTAGGCGAGACACCCTTGGAGCTGGACAACTCCCACCAACGAATCGTGAGCTCGCGCGGACACACATGACAAAGAATCACAGGATACAGGAAAAAAGAAAAGGGGCGCTTAGCGCGTGACAGTCCAACCAATGCATCGGTCAAGAAGCCAACAGAGTTGGTCAAGAACAGCCGTGCTCGAGCAGAATGGCTCTTTGACCAACACGATTACTCAAACGACTGGACCGGTAACATTAGCAAAACACACAAAAGGGATAGCCCATCATAGCCTTGAGTTTTAAGGCGTGGGCAAGGAATTGGGCCTCGTGAGGCCACAGGGAGGGGTTGGAGGGTGGAGCAGGTGCTCTTTTACATCTCGGTAGGAGGCTGCTGGCTCATGAGAATGTTGAAGCGCTTCTTGAGGGTGACGCGATGGCGGCTGTACTTGTCATCGGGTGAGAAACGAGCTACACACGCAAACACACAATTCACATGGTGAGCTCCGTCAACGTGAAACAACAAACTTGACGGTCAGTCATTCATCAAGCCTGATCTATGGCAAGACTCGGCTTACCAGGATGCGCCGAGATGGTGGGCTGGCCCTTGGGGTCGGTCTTCTAAACAGATGAGCGCATACACCGGAGAAATCAGCCAAAGATCGGACCATGATTACAAAGCGGCTCTGAAAGTGAAGGAAGGAGGAGAGTACACAAGGAGTACAGAAGGGCTCAGTAGAAAAAGTTGACTACACAGGGACGACCATCGCCGCCCCAGTTCAGGGTCTAACATGTGTAAAAACATCGTTGCCCTTCCAAATGATGTACAGGCTCGCGAGCGCGAGAGAGGCCGGTGTGACATGCCATGCCGCATGGCATGGCAAGAAACAAGCCCGCACCCTCCCGCAAAGATCTCGCAACCAATCACTCGTATTCGAGAGGTATCAAAGCACAAAGCATAGTAAGCTTACGTTGAGCGTGTACACACGGTCGCCCGACTCGTTGAGGTAGTACATCAAGAACATGTTGACGGGTCGTCGAGAGAATGCGGTCCGATACGAAAATGCCCCGATACGCGTGGTGGTGGAAGCGCCGTTTCCTCTGCCACTTTGTGTATCATTATGACTGGAAAAGTTTGGTGTGAACGATTCAAAAAGTATCGCAACGTCTCTCGTGTGGGTGTCCCGCGAATGTCAGCTATAAATGTCAGATATACATGTCAGCTATAAATGTCAGAAGTTCTCGTGTGTCATGAGTTGCGAAGATGACGAAGCCAGCTGTGTCGTCATTTCAAGCAGCACGTCACTTTTCCGGTGTACGGCTGGAGTCTTTTGGACTGTCCAGCTTTCTGCACCTCCTTCTGGATAACCCCACCCCCTACAACTGATATGCAAGTGCCACATGATGGCCAGTCCCTTGCTGGCCGCAGCAGCCTTGATTGCAAGTGGATAGCCCGCTGGCGTCACGTCATTCAATAATGCTTTGACGAGGTCAGTGGATGGCAGGCGCCACATGACTTTTGCCTGACTGCAATTGGAATCAGGGCGCCAGTGTCCTGTCGCTGCGCCCGCCTCTTAATCCCCCACCCCCCCACACACACACCCCACCCCCCAGTCAAGTGGTTTGGCCCGGCCCGGAAGTGTCATTTTTCAACTCTCGACCTCACTTGCAATCAAGGAGCTCGACTCGATACTTGACCATCACTCCACAGAACAACCACAACCATCACCATGCCCAACACGACCCACACGATCGCTGTCACTGGTGTGACCGGCAATCTCGGTGCCCTGGCCGTTGAGAAGCTGTTGGCACGCGGTCAGCCGGCGTCCCAGATTGTTGGCCTGGCTCGCACGCCGTCCAAGGCCGCTGCGCTTCAGGCCAAGGGCGTCACGATTCGCACTTTTGACTTTGAGCAGCCCGCGACCACGCTGGCCAGCGCCCTCGCGGGCGTCGACTTTTTGCTGCTCGTCTCGTCGAGCGAGGTCGGCAAGCGCGCGGCGCAACACCAGCATGTCATTGACGCGGCCAAGTCGGCGGGTGTGAAGCTGATCGCCTACACCTCCCTTCTGCATACCGACACGTCGGCCCTGACCGTGCTGCCGGCAGAGCACAACGCGACCGAAGCCGCCCTCAAGGCCAGCGGCGTGCCCCACGTGCTGCTGCGCAACGGCTGGTACAACGAGAACTACGAGAGCTCGATTGGTGGTGCCGTGGCGCAGGGCAAGCTCATGGGTGCTTCGGCTGAGGGCAAGATTGCGTCGGCGTCCCGTGCCGATTATGCCGATGCCGCCGCAGCTGTGCTGCTGGCCGACGATGCCGTTGCACAGCATGCCGGCAAGACATACGAGCTGGCTGGTGATGAGGCGTACACGCTGGCTGAGCTGGCCGGCGAGGTGCAGAAGCAGAGTGGCAAGACGGTCGAGTATGTGCCTCTTGATCGCGATGCCTACAAGGCGGCCCTCGAGTCCATCGGCCTGCCCGAGCCCATTGCGGAGATGCTCGCCGACTCGGACAACGGTGCAGCCCAAGGTGGTCTGTTTGACAACAGCAAGACGTTGAGCGCACTGACGGGCAAGCCTACCACGCCCATTGCCGAGACGGTGGCCGCAACGCTCAAGCAGTAAAAGGCTCTGTTAGCCGCTCTCCCACCCATGTCGGCCGTGCCGTGACAGGGGTCTAGCCCCCCTGTTCTGTTGATTGCTGTCCTGTGATCCATCCTCCGCATTACTACCTGCATCCCATATTTGCAATTTAGCCTGAGAAGCTCATGATTCTTCATCTCCTCCCTTCCTCTGTTCTTGACACATCCTCCCTCTCCTCCCTCTCCTCCCTCTCTTTCTCAGTGTGCGAACGTTCTGTTCTCCATGTCCATCGCGCACAGCAAACATAAACGAAAAGACGTTTTTCTTTGCCCTTTCCATCACTTCGTGATGACCGCGCGCAGGCGTGTTGTGTGCTACAGTAAAAAAAACCGAATCAAGCTACGTTTTCAATTTTTAAAGACGTAACATGAAAAGAAAAAGAAAAAAGAAAAAGAAAAAAATCAAGCGTTTCTTTTTTAGCTGTGCCGAGTTCTTGTAGATGTCCGTCTCTCGGATAATGCCTATGAAGCAGAACAGGCGAAGTGAATGTGAGCAAAAAGCCAGACCCAAGACAATGAATGGTCCAAGAATTGGAAAAAGCAACAGAATGTTCACAAAGTACAAGTGGTGAGGCAGTAAAATGCTCAGGGGCCTTGGTAATCGACAAGTACACAGGTTAGCCCCGCCGCTATTCCAGAGGCGCTCACGCGGAGACGTCCTGTTAGCAGCGTTGACTGGTTTGTGTTTCAGAGTCTTCAACTGTTTCCTCATAGCAACTGCCTCACCAGACATCACAAACAAGAAACACGTGCGAGCCAATGGGCGGAGAGTTTCGACATAAACAAGTTCAACTCACCACAAGAACACGGCGCAGCTAGCCATCCATTGAGAATGGCGGTTGCTCCTCATCGACTCGTAATGACTCGATGAAAGGCAACCGCCATTCCCGACCTTGATGAGAGTCGTGCTTGTTGGGCTTGAAAAATGCCACTGGCAGCCTTGCAGGCCGCACTTGTATGCGCACTCGTGGCCGTTATGGTCCGCAGTTCACCCACGTTGAGTTGCATGAGGAAGAACTTTGAATAGAGCAGGCATGTAAAAACCGGCGTTGAACTATTGCAAACCGATGCTCAATGTTTGATGTTCAAAGTGTAATTAAGCGTAGAGTATCAAAACGTCAGCGAAAATGGTGGTGACCCCCGCGCCGTGCCAGCGCCGCCATCAAAATGATCAAAAGGCCGACCACAAGTCGCACGTTGGGGCAGAGGGCGGCGGCCAGGCCAGGAAACGATCATCGTGAGCAGCAGATTGCTGAGAGGCAGTTGGAGAAGGCAGCTTCGACAACACCATGGCTACTTGCTGACGCTGGCGTTTGGACCCAACCACCTCTTTAAGGCCATAGCCCAAAGGTCTGCAAAGCGCTTTTGACCCATTCATCTGCGAAACAATCGCCTGTCCCCATCTTTTCATTCTGAACACTCCTTTGTTTCGTTGATTTTTTCACTTCACACACACATCTCTCTCTCTCTCTCTCTCTCTCTCTCTCTCTCTCTCTCTCTCTCTCTCTCTCTCTCTCTCTCTCTCTCTCTCTCTCTCTCTCTCTCTCTCTCTCTCTTTCATCTCTCTCTCTCTCTCTCTCTCTCTCTCTTTCTGTGTTGGACAACAATCAAAATTCATGTGTGGGCGTGTTGTTGGAGTGTTTGGTGTAAAAGCCCATGCCGCCTTATGACTTTATATGTGTGCGTGTGTGTGTGGTTGGTTCTTGTTGTTTGATTTTTTTTTGATTTTTTTCCCGTAGAGAGATCGTTGGCTGTGTGGCTTCTTGGCTGCCATTGTGGTCTTTGTACCAGACGCGTTCTGTTCCTCGTGAGAGGTGGCACCCGAACGGAGGGGCAGAGAAGTATTAGACTTTGTGCCAGCGATTAGCAATCATCCCCGCCTTGGTGCTGTGTTCTGAGGAAAGAATTGGGTCGTCATCCCGTCAAAGTTCACATGTACACACAAGCCGCTGTCATGCCGCGACTTCAGCTCAGAACCCAAGACGCCACGCTTGCAAAAGCCATGTCCTTTGGCTTGCTGTGGCTGATCGCGGCCAGCCTCAGCTCACCCATGATGGCCAACGCCGCTACCATCAACGACGAGTGCGCGATGCCAACTGAGACGACGGCGCTCGCTGACCCCGACGGTAAGCGTGCCTTGTTCCGCATCGCTCGCCCAGAAAAGGGTGTCGCATGAGAACCGCAGCTCATGGATCCCGTGCTGTCCGCCAATCTTGCCTCACAGGCTTCAAGGAGGAGTGCGATACTACCTGCAATGAATATTTCTCGACCGCGCTGGGACAGGAAGAAAAGGCGCGCTATTGCCGTGCCGCTTGCTCGCTCTATGTGCATACCGTCTCCCACGACTTTTGCTCCTGCAACTGCTACACGTCGGTTGGCCTCGTCAACGCTGAGTACATCAAGGCCTGTCTCACGGGCTGTGGCCTAGCAGATGAGATCAGCGGCCAGGCCCAGGCCGTCGAACCCACCCCCACCGCCGACCCCAATCCTTCAACGACCAATTCAGGCATTGACATCCAACCCGCCACCATCAACAGCGATTACCAGCGCGACTGCCGGGACGCAGATGCAGAAACCCTTCACATGTATTTTCCTTCCGAAACTGCCACCCTGCGGTGCGGCGCCCTCATCCAGGCCGAGACTTGCCAGCGTGATGTAGTGCGCAAGCTTTGTGCTGCCTCCTGTGCTGCCTGCCTGACCACGCCTGCCCCTACCACGCCCGCCTCAACCACGCCGGAGACCGAGAGTGGACTTGATACCGCCCATGCATCTTGGAGCGATGTTCGCTTGGCCCTTGAAATGATTTGCCTGGCCCTTTTGTGCATCTCCTTGATCGTGATTGTCGTGCTCTACCGTCGCCTGCGTTCGGAGCGCCGCCAGCTTGTCGCCTTGCCCGCGGAGAAAGAACCCAGCGCGAAAAAAAGCATGGAGATGGGTTTCGTGTCTCGCACTCTCAACGAGGCGGACTTGGATGCGGCTGGTGATTACGTTTTTGATGCCCATTACAGCTTGAGCGAAGCGCTCCACCGCCTCGAGCCTGTGCAGAATCCCCACTACGCACCGCCTTCAAGTCATGCGATGCGTGCCTCCCAATCGGAAGACTACTGGATGATTCAGGGTGGCTCGCTTTATCAAGCCCCAACCGCAGAGTCCGAGTCCATGGTATAACCTGGTTTTCAAAATTGTTTGAACTCCCTCTCTCCACCCTCAAGCCTTTCCCAGCAACCTTCACCCAGACAGCAGTGCTGACGCATCAAGTGTTGATTAAATTCTGGATGTTTCTTAGCGCCGGAATCGACAAAGACAATGCTGTGAACAAGGTTGCAGAGGCTTTTGCGACTACTGCCCAATCACGCCAGACCTAGAGTGACGGCTTTCCGGGTGGCATCTGCAAACATCACACTTTGGTCTATCGTTGACTGCGACGCTGGCGCTCTTGGACTTCATTCCAAGCCCGTCTGCCAACCCAGCCGATCAAGTCAAACGTGAGTGCGTCAGCGTTTTGTGATTTATTTTGTTCTTCCTGGAGGAAGAATAAAAAAATAAAATATCAAGCCAGAGCCATGTTGTCTTTTGAAGCTTGACAGGCGTTTTGTTGTGTGCCTCTGGCTCCTTCTGTTTTAGTTTTTGTTTTGTTTTTTTCTTGGGGGAGGCGGGGACGTATGCGTGCACAACGGCTCGCTGCATTCAATGTGGCGAGGAAACTCTCGGATCTGGGCCGAGCCCGTCTGAGGAGCTTCCTGCCCTAGCCTAAACCCCCTGCTACCTGCTAATTCCATCGACATAATTCACATGCAAAACGTACCGAAAGGCATTGGCAATCTGAGATGCGCTCTGTTCGTACTGAAAGACGTGGCAGATGTGTTCGTCATTGTGCTGACGAATCACGAAACCAAAATGTCTACGCAGATCAAACGTTGTGAGAAGAAAGGGGGCAGCCTGCACACGAGGCGCATGGACACAAGGTGTATCAGGCCTTAGCGCTCACGTATGCATGGAAGGATCAAATGCGCATTGACTGATACGCTGCAGCGGGAAGTGCTGCAAAGAGCCGCCTGGCTTGGCTGATTGCACAGACGATCGCCGCCGGATGCTTTTTTTCTGTGAGGTCAATCCATGCAATAAGCATGGTGGCATGTACCGGCGCGCGTGCAGCTCAGGGCATCACGTCGGCGGTTGGGTTGTGTGTCGCCTCAACAGCTTGATTCAAGGATGGCGTAACGCTTTTGTTGTGCGCTGCAGGCTCTGGCGTACCTGAATGATTTCCTGCTCAACCAGTCGAATTCCAGCTGGGGACACCTGAGTAAGGGATGAGCACAGAAGAGGAACATGATCAGAGCTTGGGCTGAATGGGTTGGGCACGAGATGAGATGAGAGGGACAAAGAGAGTGACTGGAGGGGTGTGCAATTTGGACCTGCAGCTCATAAGGGGTAGGCTTTTTGATTCGGCGTTCCTTTCGCAGTCGCAAGACCTAGCAGCACATGTCGGGGCGCAGCGGTCAATACCAACAACAGTGTGCTCGTTGTTATTGATACAGGCCATAGAACAGTAGTCGTGGAACAGGAGCTACGCGATACCTCGCGGATGGCAAGCTGAACTCGCTCGTCACTTCGAAGTGAATTGACAGAGACGGAACCGAGGAAGCTGCCGCATGGCAAAGTCGTCCAGGGTTGGCCAAAGTTAAACAACGCACTTCTGCACAAAAATTGGGGTTGCAAAGGTAAAACAGCGCCCAATCCTGCTGACGCACCCGACAGAAAATGTCTCAAAGTCGCGTGTGTAGCGATCAAATTCCGTGAGGGCTCCTATCAACATGCATGAGTCACTGATCAGCTGATGCATATAGAATTCATGTCGCGCTATGATAAGAAGGTTGGTGCTTATGACCCACCCCGGGATATCGTGGATGCCCGCAAGCTAGTAGCCATATCTTGACTCCCACGGCCCACGCGCCGACCAGATGAGGCCTGCCCTGCCACGGCTTGAGACTGTGCTTGCCGGGCCAAACGCATGTCCTCTTCTTCTTGTAGCTTACGCGCCAACATTTCATCGGCCGTCAATGCAGCGGTAGCCTACAGGCACGCTCGCAACCCCAAAAGAAAGAAATTAACACGCATGTCCCGATTGTCCTGATGAGATGGCCAAATACTTGCACGCATCCGGGAAGCAGCCAGGCTGTGCCCACAAAGCGTGTGAATCAAAGCAAGGCCAAGACGAGCACGAGCTCGCACCCTGCCATGTGTTTCGCCGCCCTTGGCACTCGCAGCCGCTGCACGCTCCTCCTCCTCCTGCAGACGCCGGGCCAGCTCCTCATCACCCTACGTGTGGACCCATTGGGAAGATGAAATGATCGGGTCTGGACTTGGCATGCGTGATTGAAAAGTCGTAGCACCAGTCAGGACGAACGTCAGGCTCAGATTGTAGCACCACGACAAAATTGCCCGGGAAGGTGCCGGCTTGTGATGTTGTCAGGTTAGCACCTGCGGTGGGTAGACAAACAATGAGAAGGCAGCCACGACACGAAATGCCGCAGAAGGTCACACGCTCCCTCCTTCCTGACTGCAGGTCGAAAAGTCAAAGTTGATAAAATCGAAAAAGGACCCAGGAAAGGTCCCCCTCCCTGCTAGTCTCACCGATATACCAGCCGTCCTCGCCTTGCTCAGTCACATAGATGAGATCGCCTAGTCACCCAGTACGCGGCATGAATCGACCCTCATGATCAAACGCAGAGGTGTTCCGCAATCAGCTGGCATTGGCTCAAAGCGCACCTTTTCTCAGCGTCAGCTCATCCACCTCCTTCGCATCATAGGGGTACGCAGCAACAAAGTTGGGTACGGCCTTTTCGGGGTCAATCTCGATCTCAAACGCGTCCTGCTCGTCTGTCACCTCGTACTCTTCTTCAGCGCCTGCACCACCGCCAGCTGATGGTAAACCCTCAGATCCCCGAGGCGAGGGCTTGCCAAACGGGTTGTCCCATCCAGAGGGTCGGCGCGCTTTCTGATTGTGCGTCGCCATCACGTTGCCTCGGCGCGCAGAGGATACACATGTACAGCGGCAGGCGCTATCGAGTACGCCCTCAAATCTGAATCGCAACCCTCGAGCCAAAGTTTGAGCAGGTAGCAAAGTGCTCTTTTGCTACTCCACCAGATAAAACCACCACCCCTCCTTCCCTCTGCCGAGGCGCGAACTGAGCCCGTCCGTGTCACGCCGCCGGCTCCAGGTCCTTCCAAAAGCTCGGGAACTGAAAAAGACCCTTTTTCGTGGCTTTATACTTTCGAGTTGCACAAATTCATGAAAGAGGGGGGAACCAGGAAAAGTCAGACAAGTGAATTGTCAGCATGTGAAGGCTGTCACACACACACACACATACGCACACACACACACACACACACACACTTGCTCGCTGAAATTTAATTTATCTTTTCTCTGCACGAACGACTGTGGCAGAGGGGTGGGGGAGGGGTTGATCGTGACCAGGACCTTGGGCTGACAGAGGTGGCGTGGGGGTGGTGATAAGAGTGGCTAGGGGAAAGTAGGACTGCTACAATTTGAGAAAAAGGGAGAAGCTGGGACATTGCCAGGATGGGGGCTGGAAGATCGTGTTGGCACACATGGGTCCAGGGCATTCGAATGGCCCGTGTACCTCATGGTCCGTGGAGGGATCTGTACCCCTGGCGCCATTACAGCAGCCAGCTGGCTCGCTCAGGCGTAGCCGCTGCTCGGCTGGACCATGCCCGTTGGATTGCAACTGCTGCTTCACCGAGCGCGTCAGCCAAAACCCTTTATCAGCATCAAACGGACTGCATAGAGCAGTCCCTGACTGCCTTTGGGCAGCACGACCGCGTGGCCGTGAGCATGCCCACGGGCTCGGGTAAAACAGTTGTGTTCAGCCACCTTCTCGCCCGCCTTCCAGCCCCAACGCCATCACAGCACAAAGTGCTGGTGCTTGCACACCGCACCGAACTTCTGGCACAGGCCAAGCGACAAATTGAGGCCCACAACCCCAACTTGCGCGTCGACATTGAGGGAGGACATGCACATGCTGATGTAGATGCTGCTGATGTGATCGTGGCCTCCGTACCCACACTCGGGCGGCCCAGCTCCGTGCGCCTCAGCCGCTTCGACCCAGCCGAATTCAAGCTGATCATCATTGACGAGGCCCATCATGCCGCTGCCTCAACCTACAAGCGCATCCTCCACCACTTTTTCGACGAAAACCGCAGCAACCCCTATGATGTCAAGCTGTGGGGCTGTTCCGCCACGCTACAGCGTCACGATGGACTGGGCTTGGACGATGTCTTTGATACTATTGCCTACTCCGTGTCCCTGGAAACCTTGCTTGACGAGGGCTTTCTGGCGCCGGTTCGAGGCATGAAAGTCGACGTTGACCTCAAACTGGATCAAGTGCGCATTCGCAAGGGCGAGTATGACCCCGCAGAGCTGAGTCGGCTGGTCAATACCAACGCACAGAACGAGCTTGTCGTTGAACAGTGGCGTCGGTACTGCCAGAACGAGCGGCGATCTACTTTGGTTTTTGGAGTGGACATTCGTCACGTCCTCGATCTGCAGGAACAGTTCAAGTCGGGTGGAGTCCAAGCAGAGAGCATTACATCTCTCACTCCCAACGCCGAGCGTAAACGGATCCTGCAAGCGTTTTCCGACGGCGAGTTTCCTGTTCTCCTCAACTGCACCGTTCTGACGGAGGGCACGGATTTGCCCTGCGTCGATGCCTTGATTATGGCCCGGCCCACGCGGAGCCACACTCTTTTTGTTCAGATGCTAGGCCGTGGCCTCCGCCTCCATCCGGACAAGAAGGATTGCTTGGTTATTGATGTTGCCAACACTTTTGCAAGCAACTCCCTGAGTAGCCGCATGGCCACCCTTATGGGTCTCAAATTCACGGCCGAAGACGATGGTGCGGCCCATGCACACGCGATCGCGCCTCTATCTGTGTGACTGTGTCTGTGCACGTCAAACAGCTCTAAGAATCACCTGACTCCGTCCTGTCTTTTCAAAGCGCTCGAGCCTGACCACATGGGTTTGCATTGGATATGCACCTTCCCTTCTCCATGTCTGCACAGAACTCATCGAGGCCTCGGAGTCATCTGATTCGCAAGAGAAGAAAACGGAACCCGCCAAGCCTCAAGTCGAAAATTCGGCAAGTTTTCTTGCCCGGCACCTGCCTTCCCCGTGCGAAGCACAAGCTGACTCAGTTCATTTTCTCTTACGGCCCCTTTGCTGGCCCTGGCTCGCCACCGCGTTTTCCATGCCTGCCTCTTTCGTGGCCCATGATCCCTCTCTATCCATAGATTCCCACGGGCGCATTCGGCAACATTACGATGGTAAATTTGCCGCCCAATGCTTGTTTACAGCAACAACTGGCTTGGTTGATAACATCCCTGCACCTCTGTTTGTTGACATCAGACGGCCGCAGAGGTTGACTTGTTCAAGGATACCACGCTACGAAACCCTTTTATTGAGGTGCGTGGCGGATAGGCACAGTGGCAACAGTCGGTGGTACACCATAGCTCACAGCTGAGCCATGGTTCGCCTTGCCAGAGTAAACTGCTGTGGGCATATGGATATCACTTGCTCAACGTCAAGGGGGTTGGCATCATTTGCATGTACGAGGAGGAACAAGGTCTGTCATCCGTCTGGTCTTGATGGCCATGCCCTATGACTCGTGGAGCTTTGCTGGCAATGGCTTCACTCTTCCCTCACGACCTCTTATACTTTAGCCTGGAAAGCTTTTCTCATTCCGGAGCATGGGGCGCGCGGGCAAGTCCGATACTTTGATCTGCAGGCCACCAGCAAGGCACACGCCTGCCAAGCCTTGCAAACGTGGTATATGCGCGTGGCCCCGAGCCAATTCATGGTAAGTTCAAGATATTGCTGTGCCAGGGTCGTCTCGTCGTCGCCCGAGGATGAAAATGTCTACATAAACGGGTCATCTCCATTGCATTCCAACATGTTTGACAAATACAGCTGGCCTACAAGCTCTTTCAGCGTCGCCATGAATTCAAGAAGGAGCCGGCCTCACCAGCACAGTTGGCCCTGCTGCGTCGCCTTCAGCCTTGGGCAAAGTACGCCAGCCGCAACCTGGGCCTGGAGCGTGGCTTTGCTCATCTGTTCTTTTGGATTTTGTGCGTGGCGAACTTGTAGAGCGAACGCCCAAGTGTCCAAGCTGGAAGCCGCTGAACAGATTGACGCCTTGCTTGTCCGACGAAAGGTCAAGCGCGTCTTGACCAAGCTTCGCCCCAAGCAGACCAAACCCACGGAGGCGTTGCTGGAAGCCTTTTAGACACCTGCCTTATTTAGGTTTGTCGTTTTTAGAGTACCATGCTTGCCTCGGCAAAGCACAGCTTGGGTTCTTATCCCACCCCATGTATCGAAGCAGGCTGAGCCTGTTATCAACAATCGATGCGTGACATGACATGATTGGCTTCAAGGCAAAACGGATGGTGGTTGGCTGGGTTGTCATAGAGAGCTGAGAAATACGATGGATTGCACTGCCGATGCGAAGCTACGTTGCTGTGCGTTTGAACACAAGAGGCAGGAGGTGTCGCGAACTTGTAGTTTGAGCCATGGTATGAGACCCACGGGGTGTCAGCTCAAACAAGTTGACGGGCAGAGTTTCTCATATGAATCTGGTCAAAATGCAGGCACGAAAGTCTGAAGGCGACGCGACAAGGCTTGAATATCCTCGTGGCGCTGCGAAATGCTTTGCAGCAGCGTGGGCGCTGCGATTGTGCCCAGTGCTTGCTGACACTTGAACGGTCCTTCATGGCAAGCTTGTTCCAGTTCCTCCAAGGCTGTGCTTGATAGCTGACGGGTCAAAGGGGGCCAGGTGTTTGGAAGTGAAGCTGCCATTCCCATCGAACGGCGCAGAAAGGCAGCCAGGTACGTCCACTTACCAAAGTAGTGTCAGGAAAGTTGATGACAAATACGCTTTGGCGCGTGGATGTTGAACCCACAATAGCGTGGTTTTCGGTTAAGCAAGTATGTAGCAGCTCAAATGCTCCTGTGGCGGTCACATTTGTGCAGATTAAGAAATTTGAAAGGAATATGGCGTCCCCCATGAGGTTTCAACGAAAACCAAAGAGGAAAAGCTTACCATTCATGCTGGACATGTCCCGAATATTGATGGTTGCGCGAGGATTCCGGCGAAGAGCTGTTTCAAGATGCTCTTGCAATAGTGCTGCCGGGGTGTTGGTGGCCACCTGGATCGGTGGTTCGCTGTGAACCCGTAGCTTGTTGATGGCGCTTAGGAGGGCCTTTTGCTTCGAACGATTGTTGCCGATGATGGTGATCACCAGGGGCACTTTGGGTGCTGTGTGAGTATCGTGCAGAGCCAGGTTGGCCAGTACGGGTCCCATGAGCGAGCTATAGAGATGACTGGGTGTCGAGAATTGCATGTCCAGCTCGGCAGCAAGCTGAAAAGCCTTCTTGTCGAGCATGGAGCTCGTCTGACGTGCCGGCTCATGGGCATGTCCAGAGAGCAGGGAGAGCAGGGCGCCGGGGTACTGCGCTGACACCACGGCCGCGATGATGAGCACAAGCACGGCCACGACCCAACGAGCATTCCCACCACTTGAGGCGGAAGGACTCTCTTGGTCTTGCTGTTCCGTATTCACGCGGTGTCGTGGTGATACGCTCTGGGAGGGTAGCTTCACTTGCCGAGGCGGCGACGCGACCACGACCTCGCTAGGCTCGGGAGAGCGCACAGCCGAATCTGCTTCATCACTGCTAGAGGAGCGGGAGGCAGCTTCCACCTTGGTGGGATAGGGCGAGCGGGAACCAACGTTTGCTTCGCTGATCCTCTTATCAACCTCCTCAGCAGCTTGAGGAATGGGTTTGGCCTTCGCTTTGGGTGTCGAGGTATTGCTAGAAGGCTCTGACACGGGCTCGGGCACCGCCTTCACGGTTGAGGCACGAGGTCGGCGCGGCGTGGATTTTGGTGTTTTGGGCCGAATAGGTGTCTGTTTCGAGGCTTTGCTGACTGCAGCCGTGCTGGCACGGCTGTCTGTGGGCGCACGGGTGCGGCGCCCACTACGAGTCTCCACCATGGTTGACTCGTTCTACCCCGGCACTGCCGCTCGTCCAATCCTGGTCAAGACCGAAAACGAAATTTTAAAAAACTAAAATTTCAACACTGCTTACATCTTGTAATCATCATGCGCATTTTTGTATAACTTGGGCTACAAAATTAACCGCAGTTTAATCCACAACCGCCCATACCCAGCAAGCTTGATGCTGACAACTCGATTTTGAAGAGAGACAGGTTTGGTCGGTTTGAAGTAAAGAGCAAAGACACAAAGAGAGAGCGACAGAGAAGACAGAGACAGAGACAGAGAGACAGAGAGAGACACAGAGACTCACAGAGAGAGAAAAGCACAGTTTCAAAGGGTTCGTTTGGGGGTGTGAAGAGGTACGGACGCCCTTCGGACCAAACGAGCACAGCGCAGCATCGCCGGGTCGTTCATAGAGGGGGGCGTTCTGTCGGGTGGGCAAACAGGGTGAGAGAGCTGGATTAGATAGGGGCCAAGCCAGGAGCGAGGAGTGTATAAGAGGGAATGTGCACTGCGGATCGTGCAGCCGATCACCGTCGCAATGCCTGCGCACTCTTGTTTGATCTGAACACTCACCATGCTCTCGATGGTTGGAATCTGCCAGGCTAACACTGCCGCCGACGCTGTCATCATGGCCGCGTGTCCACAGGCGCAATTGCGCCTGGAATGGTGAGCCGCACCTTTGTTGAATACAGCATGCCCTGTTTTATCAATGCCCCATCTCACAGGCAGGGTCATAGGATCTACGGCTACCGAGGGCACCAATGTCGCAACAACATTTACATCAACAGCCAGCAAGAAGTGATCTACTTTGTCGCCGGTGCGGCCCGCCCCGTGAAGCAGACCACAAAGCTGAAGCCAGCTCTCGTCGCTCCGTTCCCCGCCTGATTCTTATTTTCACCCCCTTGATCTCCTTGGTGAATAGGCACCGCTGTCTTGTTGAATCTTGAGCCGCGACGTCAACGCTTCTATCTCCAGCACGATGATGACATTATCAGGTAGCGCTTCGGCCGGGCATGCCATCGTGACCTTGCTAGAGCTGTACCTAATCGGCTACTTTATTGCTTTCTCCTCTGCCATTCCAGCATGGCCATGCACCGCGATCGCAACACAATCGCCACTGGCCAGCTTGGTCGTGAGGCCGCCATTCATGTCTGGACCTCAAACGATTTGCGGACTGTTTCCATTCTTACCGGGGCGCATAAACAGGGCATAGCTGCCATCTCCTTCAGTGAAGCAGATGACACCTTGGTGCGCCATGCCATGGCCCGTTGCGTGTGCCATTCCTTTTGTGAACAATTGCCAAACTGATGATCTAATGCATGGTTTTCATAGCTGGCCTCAGTTGGACTGGACGACGACCACACCATTGCCGTGTGGAAATGGGCCACGGGCACGCTGCTCGCCACCACCTCAGGGCATCGTGAACGGGTAAGTGTCTTGCTTGGCTGTTTTGCCCGATGCCCATGGGCATTGCTTACAGCATGCCGCCGCCACGTCCTCGACTATACCACCCACAATGGCATTGGAGAATGAAGCATTGATCTGATCGTGTGCGCTTTGCCGGTCAGGTGTTTGATATCCGCATGAACCCAGCCGATCCCACACAATTGGCTACGTGTGGACTGAAACACGTGCGCTTCTGGAAGTTGAGCGGCAACACCCTCTCCTCGCCCACGAGTGATAACGAAGTTGGTGACGCGCGGCTCTCGCCGAATCTGCCCATGCACCTTTGTAGTTTTTGCTTTGGTTTTTACAGTGGTGCTTTCGTTTGACTGCATGTTTTGCTACTGCTCATCCTTCCCGCGTCTCTTCAGAACCTCCAGACGCAGCTTAGCATTGCGTACGGCGCCTCAGGCATTGCCTATTCAGGCAGCCTCAGTGGCGAGATTTTGGCATGGAAGAGTGGCAATCATGTCAAAAGCATTCCAGCCCACACCGTATGTTTGTTAAGCCGGCCTCTGATGCCTGAGCTCGTTTCGTTGGTCTTGCATTTGAGCTGTACACTTGAATGTGTCTCTTTGACGACCAGAACCCTCACCACTGCTACGACCCCTTGCCGTGCTTGATTTCGCATGCCAGGGACCTGTGTTCTGTTTGCACAACAGCACTGACGGTTTCGTCTCTGCGGGCAAGGTATGGGACTCAAATTCGCAGACACTAGTTTTACCTTTAAGCATGTCTGAAAGCACTCCTCCTTTGCCCAACTCATTTCTTTGCAGGACGGATTGGTGCGGATGTGGGAGCGTGACTTCTCCCCTGTCATTGTAGTAGATCTGGCGACAACGCCAATTGGCTACGAGGGTACGAACCGCTATTCCAAACTTACACTGGTGCACAATGCCGAATCGGCGTCCAAGACTAGCTGTTCCTGGCCATGGGTTGATCCAGCCTCAATTTTTTTATTTTTTTTTTTATTTTTTTTTCTTTCTTCTTTTCCTTGTTCATACACAGGCATGGTCCTTCGCTCGGTCGCTTGGCATAACGACATTATCATCTGCGGCACCAAGGACTCTGAACTCATCCTCATCAATGGTCGCGACCGCGAGCACCCACAATTTCTCACCCGTGTATGCACTCTGCTACCTTGCCTCGTGCACCAAGCCTCCCTTGCAAATTGGTCGTGAAGATTTGATTATTATCGCTCAAAGGCGGGCCACTCAAGAAATAGCATTCAGTGGTCACAAGACTCAATCCTATAAACTACTAAATAGGGACATGCGCCCGGTGAGCTTTGGGGACTCGATGCCATGCACTCTACTGAGCGCTTCGTGACGGCCAGGTAGGTCGCTGTTCTACAAGCCGCTTTGTGTCGGTCTCTCTCTTTCTCTCTCTCTCTCTCTCTCTCTCTCTCTCTCTCTCTCTCTCTCTCTCTCTCTCTCTCTCTCTCTCTCTCTCTCTCTCTTCCCCCCCCCCCCCTCCGCCTGCCTTCCTGCCTGTCTCGTTTAGGTCACACTCTGCGCAGGATCCCACTTTCTTATAATGCTTACGTGTGTCCATTCCAGCGATGACCAAACACTCCGCATCTGGAATTGTGATACCCACGCCTGTGAAGCCGTTTTCAATTTGGGTGCCGGCCTTCGCACCTGTGCCATGAGGTTGGTAAATGGTACCGGAAATGTTTCTTGCTTGCACATTTAGAAGCCAACGTCTCACTGGCTACACTGTTATCTTCATCTTCAGCCCCAGTGACCAGCTGATTGCTGTTGGCGCCAGCAATGGGCGTCTTTGCTTGCTTCGAAACGATGGGCAAGAGGTAAGACCCAGACTTGAGCTTCGCAGTCCACATCCTTCGGCCAGCATTGACCACCACTGCACGTTCCTCGGATCGGGGATCGGCTGCCTGGAATTGACAGGTGTTTGCGCGTCATAAGACCAACGAGGCCGTTAATGTCGTGCGCTTCAGCGCCGGTGGCAATCGCCTGGCCGTGGGCTATAACGATGGATATGTTCTCTTGATGACCATCGAGAACGATGGTGCAAGGTGCAGCAAGGTTTGACCGCATCCACACCTTGCGCAATCACGTGGTGCCTGCCCTCATTCCGCCTCATGCAAAGCGGTTTGCTCTACCACTGTTTACATGCCACAGGTTTTCCACGAGCGTGTCCGCTCGACGTTCATCGCCCACCTTGACTTTAGCGTGGACGACCAGTATTTGGCAGTGACATGCGGCGACGGCAGCCTGACTGTGCTTGAGGCCAGCACCGGTCGACATGCGACCAGCTTACCCACCAACATTGCGTACGTGGATATTGTTTTCTCCTACCCCTGGCCGGAACTCCACTCATAATTTACGCGTTGGCCTGCAATTGACAGATGGCACATGCGCTCCATGCCTATTGGGGAGGACGTCCAGGGCATCTGGGGCAAGTATGCCGATGCTAATGACATCAACGCCGTTGCCGTTCTCAACGACACGGGTGCGTAACAGGCAACCCAGATTCCATTGCAGCGCGATTTATGCAAGACGGATGTAGTGCGCACGACTAGCTTCACACCCAACTCACGCATGTTCATGCGGACGTTTCACAGTGGTGACGGGTGATGACTACGGCCGAGTGAAGATTTTCACCTACCCTTCACCACAGCCAGGGCAAGTGCGCGTCAGGCTTTCCTACTGTATCCGAAGAACGTGTCTCACTGGCGCGTGCTTTGTTTTCTCCAATGCAGCGCGGCCTATCGAGTTTACCGCGGTCATTCTGCGCATGTGACAAATTTAGCCGTGACGCCTTCTTCATCGCGGTATGTGCTGTGCCAAAGATCTGTGACTCAACGAAGCGGTGCTGGCTGAGTCCATCGGCACCGTTAGGGTCAACTTCAATTCGGTCTCGAGCACTCATTTTGGTTGGTTGCGGTTGTCCCGACTACGACTACTCAGCATCATTTCCAGTGGTGGTGCAGACCACTCGGTTTTTCAATGGCGGGTGCATCCTTCCGGTGGCCAGCCTGACGAGTTTGACCAGTACGCCAGTGCCGACGAAGAGGTGGGCCCTGAACATTGACGTGTCCTGTACCTGCACATGCAATTATCTCTTGACCTCGACGCTTTTCTCGTTTGGGATCAAATCAACGTGATCCTGGTCTGCTTGGAACAACTCACCTGTGGATTTCATTTTGACCCACCCACTATGCATGTTCAAGTCCGATTATGAAACGGGCTTGGACATGGACGAGGGGGCCCATGAGGTTGATTCTGATGTTGAACGTGAAGCGCGCGCCGACTATTCACGCCGCAATGACACGGTCAAGGATCGCAGCTTTGAGCGAGAACAAGCTGCTCGAGATGCTATGAAGACGGTAGGCACGCTGATAGCGACCCTATGCTCTCTCCTAGCATATCTTTCTTAGTTTGAATTTAATTTCTTCTTCATTGGGTCTTTTGGGACACACGCTGTGGCTAGCTGCGTGTTGACATTTGTAATATCATATGCATGCTTTTTTTGGACTCGTTGTTCCAATAGGTTCGCCGGGCTCCCCCTCCAGATCGTTGCCTACGCATGCGACGCGTCTTTGGCTATCGCGGCTACGATGCGCGGAATAACGTCTTTTATGATGAGACCCTCAACAGTCTCATCTACCACGTGGCGGCTGTCGGCGTCATTCACGATTTCAAGTAAGCAAGAGGTGACCTTTGTGCTCTTTGTTTGTGGCATGACAGTGGGTAAGCGCCGATTTGACCGCCTTCTCTCGGCATGACTGATGACATGATGCTGGCCCGCTTCCTACAGCACGGGCGAGCAGCGCTTTTACGTGGGGCACACAGATGATATCCTATGCATGGCTCATCATGAAGGGCTGGATCTGATCGCGACGGGACAGGTGGGCAAGGAGCCCGTCATCCACGTTTGGAACCTGCAGACGATGGAGGTTCAGTCGATTTTGAAGGGTCAGTCGCTTGACTGGGATCAATTGCTCTCGGCTCTGTGGCTGGCTGATTTTGAGAGCTCGCCCAGACTGTTCCTGGCCCAGCACTTTGACGCCTCATCCTTTGGGTCTGGTTAGGCTTTCATGAGCGGGGCGTGTGTGCACTGGCCTTTCACAACAATGGTAAACTCTTGGCCTCGGTGGGCCTGGATAACGATCACAGGTGAGTCCTGTTCACCTTGAGGCCGTCGCGATTGCAGCAGCCCTCTGATTACAACACCTTTGACACGACAGCATCTGCATCTGGGACTGGAAACGCGGCACTCAGCTGGCTTCAGCGCGTGGCCACAAGGACAAGATCTTTGAAGTGTGCTTTCACCCTCAAGCCACGGAGTCGGTGTGTGATTTTGTATACTTTACATCCAACTGCTTGGATTTGATGCCTTGGCTCTCACGCGCAATGTTGCCTCTCCCATGCCATGCGCAGCTTGTTTCCGTAGGAGTGAAGCATATCAAGTTTTGGGAGCAAAAGGGCAGCACGTTGACGGGCAAACGCGGCGTCTTTGGATCTGTTGGCCCCCAGGTATGCTGTACATGAGACTTTTCGAGGCTCCTATCCATGTGTCAATCCATCGCTGCTCTCTGCCCACGGTGACCAAAATTTGCCTTTTGTGTTTGATGTGCAGGACACAATGCTATGCGCAACTTTCTCTGCTGACGGCCAGTGCTTTACTGGTGGCGCCAATGGCAAAGTCTACGGGTATATCATCGTTCTCCTTCTCTTTCTTCTTCTTCATCTTCTTCTTTATCTTCTTCTTCTCCTTCTTCTTCTTCTTCTCCTTCTTCTTTCTCTCCCTCTCTCCTCTCTCTCCCTCTCTCTCTTTCTCACGCACGCACGCACCTTTGTGCTCATTGAACAGGTGGGGTGCAGATCGCAATTTGCGCGCCGTTTACGACTGCCACGCCTCTCCCATTTTTACTCTCAAAGGTCCGAGTGTCCTTCCTTGTGTTCGACGGCCTTCCATTGCATATAGAGAGAGCTCGATATTTCGCTCAAAGCGGGCTGACTGCTGTATTTTGACTGTCGTGTAGCCATGGGCGATGGCTTTGTCAGTGGCAGCAAGAAAGGAGAGGTATCTCTCTGGTCCAACAGCTTTGCTTCCAAACTGCAAACCTATACAATTCGGTGAGAATTCTCTTCATGCTAAATAAAGAAATGATTAAAATAAGAGCAGCTGTGACTTTGCACCAAAAAAAGTGCACGTGTATCCACATGCTTACCCGAGGTTTTGTTGTATCAGGCAGGACAAGTGCACTACCGATTCGTGTGCACTGGCCCGTGACACACCGCCCGTTCGAGCCGTGGCTCTAGCACAGGTCAGTCTTTGCGTGCAACGACCGTGCCGCACAACCACCTGGGCCCCCGCCACTTCTTCCCACACTTCTGACCCAAAAGACTCAAGCCTCTCTTAACCTTGTCGATAATCATGGCGCCCGAGTAGCATGCCGTCTATGCCGGCCTTGCTACTGGGCAAATTGCACAGATTACTTCGTCCAATGGCGCCGTTGATGTCATCGTATCTGTATGTAGTCGATGGGGCTAAGAACTGCCTCTGGATAGTATACTCTGATCATTTTGACTGACACAGGTCGGCTTACTCTTGAATTGGGTACACGCTTGATTTCTCGCTACACAGGGCCACGCTGAAGGTGAGCTGTGGGGCTTGGCCATGCATCCCAGCGCCAGTCAGGCCTTCACCGTATCTGATGATCAGCACTTGATCGCTTGGGATCTGGACAAGTGCCGCCAGGTGAGCTCGCAGACCTGCTGGTACTTTGCGCACGACAGCTCAAGCTTGCCTTGTTCTCATTGTTTCAATTGCGGCACTGGAACCGAGCAGTTGTCGCTGACCCATCTTGCCAAACCAGCGCGCGCGGTACATGCATCGCCTGATGGCCAATGGATCGCAGTCGGGTTCAAAGATGGCAGCTGGAGCGTGTATGCGCTAGATCAGCTGGGTGAAGGTGCTGCACCGGTACATACGGCACATCACCGCAAGGAAAATGTCTCTGACATCAAGTTCGCCCCTGGCACGGGTGAGGCACACAAGAGTGCTTTTGTAGCAGTGGCCACCCATGATAATTTTGTGGACATCTACGCAACTGGTACCTGGAAGCGCGTGGGTGTCTGTAAGGGCGCATCATCCTACATCACTCACGTTGATTGGAATCAAAGTGGTCAACTGCTCATGGTCAATTCGGGCGCCAAGGAACTGCTTTATTTTGAGGCCCCCAGCGGCAAGCGGCAAGCCCTGACCACTGCCGTTTCCAAACAAATCCAGTGGCACACGTGGACCTGTGTGCTTGGTGATCAAATGTCTGGCGTTTGGCCCCCCAGCTCCGACGTGACAGACGTCAATGCTGCTTGCCTCACCCGGGACAAATCAGTACGTTTAATTGCTCGAGGATCATGCCCCAAGACACCTGGGCAGGCATTGCCTCTGGCCTGGCCAATGCAGCACAATGTCTTTGAATGCCGCATGGCTTGACTGTGTAAACTTGTCACCTTTGTAACGCGTCGCTCTTCGTCACGTTATTGACAGGTGTTGGCCACGGCAGATGACTTTGGGCTTGTAAAGCTCTTTGACTTTCCGGCCACAGGCCAGTACAGCAAGTTCAAGAAGTACATGGTTTGTTCCCCAAATCAAAATGATTCCAAGAGCATGAGATGGCTTCACAACACGCCTCATGTCAATATTGTGCGGGCCCTGCGTCAACGGTGCTTTTCTTAGGGGCATTCGGCCCATGTCACCAATACGCGTTTCTCCTTTGATGACGCCTATCTGGTCACTGTGGGTGGCAACGATACATCTGTCATTCTCTGGGACTATGGTACGTAAAGCGGACATCGGCGAGCCTTTGTGTTAAAGACGGGATACACGGGGTCCGGGTTTGGTGATTGACCTTGTTGTTGCTGCGTGAATATGTAGGGCGGAGCGCGGCAAGCGCAGCCATCACAGCCTCCGACCCGACTAGCACGGTTGGGCTAGCTGGAGACAGCGACGACTCGCTCAGTGATTCGGAAGAAGATGGGTTGGTCATGCTTTAGACGGGCGTGGGCAATAGACTTGGTCCCGGCACATTGTGCATTTCCAAATGATTGATAATTTCTTTCCCCCTGGACCATTCTGGCCTCAACTGTGGGGTGTTTGCGTTAGGTATGACTCGGACGTCGCCCGTGAGCAAGCCATTGACTACACGGAGAAAACTTTTGACGAAAAACTGCGCCCCGCACAAGGCGAGAGTGCGCGCCGCAAGGTCCGCACCAAGACAAAAGGCATGACGCGCAAGGTCGCTGCAGCTGGAGGACGCAAGCAGGGTGGTGAGTCTTTCATGCGGACCGTACTTTCCAGACGATGGCGCAGGGCCTTTGAGCCAAGCTCAAGTGCTAACTAACGCGCGTTGTTTTGAAATGGCATGATCTAGCTGCGGCCATCGTGGGCTTGTCACTGGCATACTGTCATGGCTACCGAGGCTTTGATGCCCGCAACAATGCCCGAATGATTGATGAGCGTATGTGGCTTGCCCTGCACATGTGCGCCGGCCGAACCTCGGCCCCTCGCCTCGTTGCTGCTTCCTTGGCTGCTCCATCTTTCTCTGTCCCTCCCACCCCACCCGGATTTATTGTGCTCTAACATAGCTCATATCAGATTATGCGTTGCTGTTCTTTTTCTCTGCAATGACGCACTGCAGATCGTATCGTGTACCATGCTGCGGGCTTGGGCATCGTGCACAACGTGTCGCGTAATACCCAGGTCGGTGCTTGGTCTTGAAGCATCCAATAACCCGAACAACCTCTCATGAAATCATCTCCTCGCTTGTGTGACGTTGATGCCTCACGCCTGGATGCATGGTATCCCCGACCTGATAGCGCTTTTACACAAAGCATACGGATGACATCTTATGCCTGGCAGGTGCGCACCACTCGTTACTGCCGTCAAATAAACTTCGTGCTTGACGATACTAAAATGGTATTGTGTGATCTGAATCTGTCACCTTGCTCCACACATGTGGGCTCGTGCACAGTGCATCCAAAGTTGCCGAACATGGTCGCCACGGGACAAGTGGGTGTAGTGGCTGACATCCACGTCTGGTACGCCACGAAATTTACATGCGCAGAGCAAGCGCTTAAATGTGCTCTGAACCTCAGCATTGCTTACGAACTCACCTGTCGCTCGGGCCTACATATCCTTTGCATAGGAACACTGAGGACCAAGCCACAGCCGCTGTCCTCCGGGGCTTTCACAAGACTGCTGTCTGTTCTCTCGATTTCAGTGCTTCCGGCAAGCACCTGGTATCCATTGATGCCTGCAACAATTCGGGGTAGGAAGATTGTGGATTTGTGTTGTCCGCCATGTGGTTGACTGTCATGATGCCCTTCAAACGAATCTCTGTCTTGCTGATCATGATCCTTGGGCGTGACTTCAAATCCATGCTGGCAGGCTGGCCGTCCACCGCTGGCAAACCGGAACGCGCGTCGCCTCGACCACGGCCAGCCATCACCGCTTATTCGCTGTGGCCTGCCGCCCCGATTCAGAACACGAGGTGCGCCACACGCTTCGAACCCAGACCGTCTGACTTTGGGGAAACACGATCCTCACTGTTGGTATTCATCTTGACTACTCTTTCCTACTGGACTGACGGCCAAAGTTTGTGACTGTTGGCGTCAAGCACGTGCGCTTTTGGACTTTGGCGGGCAGCGCGTTGTTGAGCAAGCGCGGTCTAGTGAGCCGGGAAGCCAAGATGACCACTATGTTAGCAGTAGCCTTTGGACCAGAGCGCACCACGTACACAGCAGCCATGAGCGGTGCCATCTGGCAGTGGCAGGAAAACCGCCATGTGCGCATCATCGAAGCACATGCCAAGCCATGTTTCACCATGAGCACGCTCTACAGTCCCAAAAACTGGCGCATCCTTACTGGTGCAAAGGTGAGGCCCATGTTTGCATTTGAAGAAGCAGGCTTCATTGCATCGGGCATGTCGTTCGCCCTGCCATTGAACCGCTCGGTTGCCTCTCTTTTTTTAATTTTGGTGGCTGGCCTTGTATAGGATGGCAAAATCAAGCTGTGGGATGCATCAACATTCAAGCAGCTTCAGGAAGCTGAAGTGCGTGGCAAGGAGTTGCGATCTGTTGCTCCAGCTCGTGGTGGTGCCTTTTTGGTCGGCACAGAATCAAGGTATGCTGCTGGTTTCCCGACTACCTACGCCAGCTGTTTTGCAGGAAACGCTCGTGACGCGCGGGAGCCATGGTGTGCCTTGCCCGCTTTTCATTGTTGTTGCCCTTCATCCTGCTATGTTGCACTGTGGTGGTGATGGGTCGATTTTACAAATGTAGTGAGCTCTTTATTGCCGGAAACGACACCACTCCACAGGTCGTGGTGGATGGACATGGTGAGGGTGAGCTGTGGGGCCTGGCGCCTTACCCGGGCAAGGTGCGTACCCGCCATCTTTGCGTCATGTGCGTCTTTGATTTGAGGCCTCGCTCACAGGAAAGCCTCCCTGGACCCTGCAGGGCAAACTCTTCTCGCCCACCACATTTGCGACGGGCGGTGATGACAAAACCATCCGTCTGTGGGACGTGACTTCGCCCAAGGAGCTCGCGGTCTTTCATACCACGGCAGCTGTGCGGTACGGTGTTCTGCATGCAGCGTCGGTCGGCTGCGTTGAACAAGCGAAGAAGCCAGTTGACCCATGCTGTGTCTTTGTTCTATTCTATAGCTCGCTATGCTTCTCGCCGGATGGCACCCTCTTGGCAGCGGGTCTCTTTGATGGCACCGTACAGCTGTATGACTTGCAGGCAAAGAGTGCCGCACCAAAGTGCAAGCGTGACCGTGGCAAGTCTATTCAGGTAAGCATGCAATCTGGAGTGAGCAAGCCGTGTTCACAGGAAGACAACCGCATGTGCCTCGGACATGTTCTGCCATAACACATGATACGTATGTGCTTGTATGAATACAAAAAGGACCTAAAATTCAGCCCTGATGGCCGCCTTCTGGCTGTTGGCTCGAATGATCAGACGATCGACATTTATCAGTCAGTCTTGCAACCGTCATAGTTGCTTCGTTCTGCCCGCCCTTGCACACCTTGCATTGCTTGTTTCTTATTAGCTGCGGTGAATCAGAGTGACAGACATGCAACGCAAGGCCTACACCAAAGACATCCCTGGCGCAGTGACGCACGTGGACTGGGAAGAACAGAGCCGCTTCGTCAAGGCTGAGACCAGTCAATATGTCACAGTGGTCGTGAATGCCGCTACGGGCGCAGTCTGTACCGATGACCTGGATGGTGAAGTGAGTCGGTTGGCGGGCATCTGCCGCAGCTGAAGCGAGTAATCTGATGTAAGCTGAATCCCTGCTTGCATGTGCGCAGCCCAGCTTTGTAGACAACAATGGCATCCTAGAGCCGCATATGGCAGGCATTTGGCCCCCAGATGCCAACAAGGTTGGTGTACGAATGAGCGATTTCTAGACTGAAGGTGTCGAGCGTATCTTGCCCACTTGAACTAAGGGACGCTGACCAACCCTGTCATTCACATTCGTGCGCAGGCGGATGTCAACTGGGTGGCCGTGGCACATGGCGGCTCCGTGGCTGCGACTGGCGATGACGGTGGATTTGTGAAGCTGTTCAAGATGCCCGTTCCGAGCACCCATGTAGGTCATTGCACTCTTGGCCCTCCGCGTGTGCGCGTGCGCCTATGCACCTGACCGTGCTGCGTGTGTGATCCCTAGAGCAAACACAAGTCCTATGTCGGACACTCGGATCACGTGACACGTCTGTGCTTCACGGCCGATGATAGTCATCTGGTGTCCATTGGCCGAGAGGATTGCTGGTACGCAAAGGCTTCCATGCGTGACTGTTTCTTTGTTTTTTTGAGTCGACGATTGTTCACACTGCTTGTTTGTTCTCGTGTGTTCCGTAGCATCCTTGTGTGGAAGTGCAAGTCGTAGATGCCCAACAAGAACCCGAACTTTACAAGGATATAAAATGGCTATCCACCTTGTTATCACCACAAACGTTTGCCATGCTTGACTACAACCGAGGGGCAACCCTCCACTAGTCGTGGGACCCTACAACGAATACACACCTCTGTTGTGCCTTATTCATGAAAAAGTTGCAACCGGGCAGTGTCTCGCTCGCGCGATCTTGACTGCAGCGCTCTGTCGTTCTTCTCGCTTTCTGTTCTGCCTTGTCGGCGCCACCCTATTTACACAGCTGAGAGAAACGAAATTGAATTTCTCTTCTCGAAATAGGATATGCAGGAGGCTCCACGCTGAAAGGTCATCAGCATCAGCACCCTAGCGAAATAAACCTGCGTAAACGAAGGGCGCATGGTAAAATTGAATCCGTGTGACTGTGGAACGCCAACCGCACTCGGCAGGTGGTCTCTTTTTATATACGCAGCCGGGTTGCTTGTCGTGGGCTTGTCTGAAATCCTATCTCGCAAGGGAAAAACAAACTAAGATCTAAGATAAGAGCTGAAATTCGACAAAAATTGAGTCAAAAAGAACGAAAATTGGTGAGACAATCTGTGACTTTGCGACGATTGACTGCAACTCATGACGAAATTAAAAGAAAGAGTCGATTAATGGAAAGAGCACGAAAGCAGACGATTCACCAATCCAAAAGTCTGCAAGCGACCGAAACGGAAACAACAACGGGTCAACGGAGCGAAACAGACAAACAAGGACTAGAGATGGCAGTCAGTTCATAGTCGTATCGAAAACAAATTATCATATTATGATGATTCTCTTCACCCACAAACATGTGTCACAACAAGGCGATCGGGGGATTACAAAAATAGCAACAAATACAAAGGGCTCAACACGAGCATTCTACTAGCAAAACCTGCCACAAAGACAAGCGTAGACAGATACAAGGACCTTGACCCCGTTCGCCTGCAAGCGGCTACCTCAGGATTACGAGAACGCGCTCGCTCGGCGGCGCATTTCTGGGAGCAAGAGGCAAGCAGGCAAAGCGTAGTGGTGGGTCTGGTTCTACACAAAGACATCGTCCATCTGAACCAGGCCCAGCCAACGGCCCATGCTAAGCATGTCAAAGCACTGACACGAGCGAGGTTCGCTCGGGGTCTGGCCCATGGAGTTGACGGTGTGCAACTTCGTTGATCTCTCTGAATGCAAACGATCCTGGAGCGCTCGATGACAGAGGGGCATAACGACGGCAGCCGTAAAGAAGGACAAGAGCATGGCGCTAAACAAGAACCAGCAACCATTGTCAAGGGTGGCTATAACATCAAAGCATTTGGCTTCGTAATCGTGGGGCAGTTGGCCCTCATCCTGCAGTTGCTGAATGATCTTGTTGATGCCATCGCAATAATCGCCAATGATAAAGAGAGCAAATCGTTGAATCTGGAGAATGGCGGCAAGGATAGAGACCACAAAGACGTCGAGGGCCGACCACGCGTTCAGGACCTCGGCAATGGTGTACCATCGAGCCTGCACATTCACGGAGAGCGGCACTACCCAGACGGTGATCATGACCAGCACGTGCAAGCAAGGCATGACAATGGCAAAGATGTAGAAGGTAGCCTGCAGCATGCGAGTGAGAAAAGAATTTGGTTCGATGGAAGACTCTGGAATGGCAGTGCCTAGCGTGCCAAGACTGTAGTTTCGATAAGAGAAGCTGTCATTATAACCCATCAAGTCATGCTCCAGGTCCAAGCCCGCGGCAGCCAGGCCCTTAAAGTTGAAGCTGAAAGCATACATGACCGAGCCGACGAGCAGAATAGCGATGGTGGCCAACAGGAGCAGGAGGATGGAAAAGTAGCCGCAGCGAGTGAAGCGGTAGGTTATATCGTCACGAACAAAGACGTGGTTGCCAAAGGAACGTTTGAGGTGGTCCGGGGTAGGCTGACGATGTTGATCTGCTGCCTTGCGGTGCATGTGTAAAATAATGTGGCCCATAATGAGAGAGATGATCGTGGCCAGAACAAAGGTGTAGAGGCCAACATCAGGCTGAACAAAGATGTCCAGTGAGGTGTCCTTCTCCGTTTCCATGTCAGCGGGAAGCAGTGGCAGCCGAAAGCGGAAGGCGACAAGCATCATGACCATGACGTAGGTGTCAATGAGGGACCACTTGCCAAGGGCATCGAGCACGCGGAGGAGAGTTTCACGTGAGCTCTCGCCGAGCCAACGCACGGGCATGATCCATGCCGTCAGCATCAGCACAAGCTTGAGGTAGGGCCAAACGCCAGAGAAGAGGGCGATGACGACAGACAAGGGGCGCACATGAGCCTGCCACATATCGTGCACCGTGTTGATGAGGCTGAAAGTAAAGGTGGGATCGAAGCGGTAGCGATCGTTGCCAATAATGAGAAAAGGGTAGACGGATGCACCAGCGCTGGCATTCGAGTTGATGAGAAGGGCAATGGTGCCGAGCAGCGTGATGGGGATGAGGTAGCGAGACCATGTTCCCACGCTAGGCTCGGCAGCCAGGCAAGGAGCGGGGTTGCGACCTTCCAGGAGGGGCGCGGATTCATCTGGACTGTTGAGGGAATACGCGCTCAGTCGCTTTGCGTGCTTGTCATTGGCGTGGAAGACCCAGAGACCAAAGACAAAGGCAAGGGCCAGGCCAGTGGAGACGGCAATGTAGGTGATGGTCATGTTCGTGCCCGGAGGAGCGGTGCTTCGAGCAGGGGTGCAGGTTTGGTTGGACAAGCTCTGATTGATGGCCTTATTAATCGGGGCCAAAGTTTCGTTGAGGAGAACGTTGAGGGCCATCGGTACCAGGTCGTCAAAGTTGACGACAACCAGGTGCATGAGATTGTTGAGGGCAAGGTCAAGGTCTTGCTCGAGGGTGCCGGCGGCAGGGACGAGTTCTAGGTCGTCAAGTTGAAAGTCGAGATTGAGGAAGGTCAAGCCGAAAAAGTCGACAGCCTCAGCAAGGCAGCCGGGCTGAAAAATTTGCAGAGAGCGAAGGGCGTCAGTCTTGGCCTGGCTGACATCAAGGTCAAGGATGAGGTCCATGGTGCCATGATCCATGGCAAAGACCACCGTAAACTCCTCGTGCAAGATATCGCTCGAGTTGGCGAGCTGAATGTCGAGGGTCAGGCTAATATTGATGCTCAGGTTTGCGAGATTGGAGGTGGTTTCCAGCTGACAGGGACTCGTTACATTGAAGAGTTCAATCGAATTCCACGTGTCGAGGCCTGCGACAACAACATCTTGAAAGCCCAGACCGACGGTACCCAAGCCTGGGAGATCGAGGACGGTGCTAAGGTTGAGATCGAGGGCGACACGCCCCGTGTGGTTGGTGAGCGCGTCCACGAGACCGTCAAGAAGCAAGCTATCAGTGTCATTCAGAGAAAGAATGGAGTTGACAAACTCGACCAGCTGAATGACGGGTGAGGTGCGCAGGTCGGCCATGCCTGCAGTGAGGGGGACACAGGGGTTTGGGATGTGAGGCGAGGCAAATTTTTTTTTGAGATGGTACAAGGGAAAAAAAAACCAAAAAAAAAAAACCAAAAAAAAAAAAAAAAAACCAAAAAGAAAAAAAGTCAAAGGGCACGTACCTGATTCATGGGGGCACGGGGGAGGACGATGCATAACGGCTTGACCTTGGGCGTAGAGCGCGAAAGAAATGTTGCGAAGGAGGGGAGCAAGCATGTGATCAACGAGGTCGGGAACAAGCTTGCGAAATTGAGCTTGAAGAACGTCAGCCATGGCGGTGCGAATCATAGATGAGTTGAAGAAGCCGCCCGTGGGGATAGTCCCATCGACAATCATGTTGGACACCTCAAAGATCGCAGTCGGCTGTTCTAGAGTGAGGTTTGTAATACGTTGCTGGTCGTCCTTCTCAAGTTGAAGGACAAATCCGAGGATGGAGTGATCAACAACCATGGTGACACGTTCGTTGAAGCGAGGCAGGGCCTCAGCCTTGAAGGCGAGGCTACAGTTGAGACTTATGCCCGAGCCCTCGAATCCGTAGGCCAGGCCCTGGACGTCCGTGGAGATGTTGGCAATCACAGTGTGGGTGCAGACACCATCAGTCAGATCGACGCCCTTGATGACCGTGACGGCAGGTAGAGGAATCTGTAGATCAAAGAGCCACTTGCTGAAGGACACTTGGTGGCTGGCATGCACAGGCGCAACAGAGGGCAGAACGAGCAAGACCAGCCCCATCAGGGCCAGCCGTGCGCACACCGCCATCTTGCGGTGCGGAGAAGGGGAAGGAAAATAGGAGCTAGCGTGCAGCGAGCGGGATAAGGAGCAGAAGTGAGTCGCCTGTCGCCTGACACGCGGGGGCATAAGTTGTTTGTGAGCATGGGACAAGCCGTAAGAGTGCGTACAAATTGATGAGGTGGTGGGCAGCAAGGAAAAAAAAAATTGAATCGCGAGGGCAGGCAGCTAGGGGAGGGCCGGCACAAAAACTGCACACGACGCAAGATCCAGAGGCGCTCGCCGGCAAAAGCCAAATCCTGTCAGCTGAGGCAGCCAAACGGATAATGTCAAATAAGTACATGTCACCGAGTCAAATCAAGTCGGGGGGGGGGGGGGGGGGGCAAAAAAAAACCCAAAAGGGCCCCATTGGGCCCTTTTACTTTTTTTTTTAAAGGCCCCGGCCCCAAAAAAAAAAAAGGGGGATTTTTTTCCCCCCCCAAA